AACCTGGGGATCACAATCAGACACAGGGAAGACATCTGCCCTTGCTCTTTGCTACTCTGCTGCTGAGTATGCATGGCCAGTATGGAATATATCTCATCATATTAAAGAAGTGGAAGTGGCTCTTAATGCCACATCATCACAGGATGTCTATGTCCAATAACGCTGGAGAAATTATACTGTTTAGCTTGTATTGCACTACCTGACATCTGCCAGGAAGTAGGAGCCAACAATGAAAGGACCAAGGCAGCGACATCTCCAGCCCATCCTCTGTTCAGATATTAGCCAGCATGCCAATTCCTTAAATCAAGAAACAGCTTCCTAAGATCTACAGAGACACTCACAGGAACACCTCAGCAAACAAGAGTCCAAAAGTGGCAGGTAAAAAAACAGAACCCCCATCAGCGGCTGATACCGGATGACAGACTCCCTTCTAGAGACACAGAAGACTTGGAAGGCACTGAACAGACTGCATTCTGGCACCACGAGATGCAGAACCAGCCTTAAGAAATGGGACTACAAAGTGAAGTCCATGACATGCAAGTGTGGAGAATAGCAAACCACAAACCACCTACTACAATGCTGCTTGAGCCCTTCCACATGCACAATGGAGGACCTTCTTACAGCAACACCAGAGGCAATCAAAGTGGCCAGCTTCTGGTCAAAGGAAATCTAGCATAACTTTTTAAATACATTATACCTATATTCTCAATTTGCTCCTGATATGATAAATATAGCAGAGGACGGGAGTTAATGAATACTTTGTTTTCCTAGATATAGAGACTGCTCCCTGCCTGAGAGTTGTGTTTTATATATTGCAAATGTGGCAGACTATCCAGCTCTGGGTCGATATGATATTATCACTAAAGCTGCCACCACTGCTTGAACTAATTTGATGTTTTTACCTACATCTTGATCTGCAGACCTTTCATGGAATGGAGATGAACATTTGTCATCTGCCAGTATTTTAAGATTACACTGAGTGCATCAACACTGTAGAATGGATGTAGTTTGTTGCCACTTTAACTGCCATGGCTCAATGCTATAAAATCATGGGAGTTGAAGTTCTACGGGGCCTTTTTCTTCTCTGCCCCAAAGTGGAGGTGTCACACCAAACTACAAAGCCCTGGAGTCCATAGCATTGAATCATGGCAGTTAAGGTGACATCAAACTGTATGAATTCTACAGTCTAAATACATCCACTGTCATTGGCAGATGAACCCAGACCAAGCCAACTGGTAATCCAAAAGCAGTTGGTGTGGGTGGCTTGAATATGGGGTTTAAATTCTACTCTATAATATTTGAGTAGAATTACAATTTCCATGATCGCAGGGTTGGAGGCGCCCTTCCAGATATTGATGGATTCCAGTCCCCGTAAGCCTTGCCAACCTGGCCAATACCAGGGATGAATGGCTATGGCAGTTCATAAAATCTGGAGTGTTACAGTTTTCCACTCTTTCAGTAGAGCTTACCTCTATAAAATGACTTCGGGGGCTAAAACAATGCTTTGGCTTTATAGATAAATTATACAAGAACAAAATACAAGGATAATAAATAACATTTATTCAGCAACCGGGCGTAAGGTAATTTGGGCAGGCGCATCTTTTCACATCCCTTTTGAAAAAGTATCTGCCAATATTCACTCTACTTGTAGTGGTTCATTGCAAAAAAACAGCACAGACATAACCACAAATAGGGCAATACACTTAACAATACTTATTTAATGCATGTAATGCAATTTAACCTTGCATCGGCTGTAATGGGTTTGTAAAGTCCACATATAAAGGTAGTTTTGCTATGAGAACAAACTTTGGTACTGTTCTATTATCCAGGCGGAGGTCACAAGAGGGTGCTAGAGAAAGAGGGAGAGTCCATTTTAAGGGGGAGGGGGTTGAAGGAGTAAAACAATTTCCTCGTTTTCCTGTTACTACCCCCACCCATGTCTCCATCCTCAAAACAACCATCTTTTATGATATGAGAAATGGAAGGGACAACTTAAAATGGGGAAATTGTTTTCCTCCCCCCCCCCCCCCCGCCCCTCCATAAAGTAGACTAATCTCTGTCTTGGCCCCTTTTCAGAGTCTGCCTAGATCAGTGGTTCTCAACCTGTGGGTCCCCAGATGTTTTGGCTTTCAACTCCCAGAAATCCTAACAACTGGTAAACTGACTGGGATTTCTGGGAGTTGTAGGCCAAAACACCTGGGGGCCAACAAGTTGAGAACCACTGGCCTAGATAATGAAACAGTACCTAAAAGTTCATATAAGCAGCAACCAAACACATCCCTGATTGAAAAAGTGTTCACAAGCAGGTAAAACTGCTAGATCCTCATCTAGAAATGGTGCTTGTAGAGACCGGCCCAAAGTCACCCACTTGAACTTAATTACTTAGTGGGGATTATTTTCAACACACGATCTTACATAATGCTAGCCTCAATCTGTCCACAGGGAAAAATCATATGTATTTCACTTTTGCATTTAAGCTGCATCGCTGCACTGTATTCTCATGCTAGGAAATGCATAATATTACATTGTTAGCCTCTCATTAAAGCAGTTAGATTGGGTTGAGGGGCAAGAGGGCAGCTGAAGCTGTGAAAGAAGACTTTAATAGGGTTGCTGTGAGCTTTCCGGGCTGTATGGCCATGTTCCTGAAGCATTCTCTCCTGCTGTTTCGCCCACATCTATTGCAGGCTTTCACAATTGGTTAGAAAAAGGCAATTTCCGCAAGTGCTGCTCATTTCATCTCTGCATGACAAGATACACGTGCCTAACCCCACCTTAAGACTGAATCCAACGAATACCTGCTTAAGAATGAATCCCACTGTACATAGTGGAATTTACATCTGAATAAACACACAATGGACTAGCCATCCCCTGCCACGCGTTGCTGTGGCCCAGTCTGTGTATATGTGTTTTTTGTGTGTATATGTGTATATATGTGGTTTTGTGCATGCACTGTAATGAATCTTTTATTTATTTTGCTTTTTAAGCCTCTTCTGTTGTGTTTTCCAGTGTTTTTATGAATGACAGTCACTTGTTGGTCTGATAGGTGTATTGTGTCCAAATTTGGTGTCAATTTGTCCAGTGGTTTTTTTAAGTTATGTGAATTCCACAAATTTTATTTATATAGATACTAGCTATACCCGCTACACATTGCTGTGGCCAACCTTCCTCTTTCTCTCCTTTCTTTCTCATTCCTTTCTTCCTTCCCTTTTTTCTTTCCTTCTCTCCTACTTCCCTTCCTTCCTCCCTTTCCTTTCCTTTCCCCTTTCTTCCTTCTCTACCTATTCTTGGACTGCAACTCCCAGTAGTCCTCCTGATCGATCTACCTACCTATCTCTATCTAATCTATCTATCAGGAGGATTGCTGGGAGTTGCAGTCCAGCAATAGGAAATTGGAAATATGCAGGAATTGGGATGCTCTTAAAGAAATCTAAGGGGAAGAAAGTTTGCATCTTGGAAGCAATGCATTTGGATCATCCTCCTTTCCTAAAAGGCCTGGTCTAGGGGATGCTGGAAGCTGTAGCCCGGAAGTGAGTGTGTTTTGTTTGCCAGGGGAAGTCATTTTTGCAATTGCGCTGTAGCATCTTTTTGCTTTTTTGGCGTTTTAAGTCCCTTCTGCTGTGTTTTCAGTGTTTTTATGAGTGATGGTCACTGGTTGGCCTGATAGGTACATTGTTTCTAATTTTTGGTGTCAATTCATCCAGTGGTTTTTGAGTTATGTTAATCCCACAAACGAATATTACATTTTTATTTATATAGATGTACTGTTGTGTGCCTTCAAGTCATTGTTGCCTTGGCATATTATGATTCTGATTTATATATTTTGTACTATCTGCACCAGGGGTCCTCAAACCTTTTAAACAGAGGGCCAGGTCACAGTACCTCAAACTGTTGGAGGGCCGGATTATAATTTGGAAAAAAATGAATGAATTAGTATGCACACTGCACATATCTTATTTGTAGTGCAAAATAAATAAATAAAAACAATACAATAATTAAAATAAAGAACAATTCCAACAAATATAAACTTATTAGTATTTCAATGGGATGTGTGGGCCTGCTGTTGGCTAATGAGATAGGATTGTTGTTGTGTGCTTTCAAGTAGTTTCAGACTTAGGTTGACCCTGAGCGAGGGCCGGGTAAATGACCTTGCAGGGCCGTATCTGGCCCTCAGGCCTTAGTTTGAGGACCCCTGATCTACACAGTCTGACTTCAGTATTACAAAAACAAAGCAAAACCCTATCAGTTACAGTTTATCAGCAATATTAGCCTTCTCAAGGTATGGGGCCATAGTCTTGGGTCCCTTTGCAAGTAGCTACTTTAGTCAGTGCGAAATGTCGCAGAAGATGGCATTTAATGAATAGCTAATAAGCTTAAAAATCTAATTCATTTGCATTTAGAATGCAACTGAATTAGATTTTTGGAATAGGGAAAACGTAACTATTATGTTTATGTCAAATTGCCATTTGCATTTCAGCTAAATGCCTGAAGGTCAAGAATACAATTAATTTCTTTACATCTGCAACCACCCCTGTATTGTTCTTTAGACTGAAGGAAAGAGATGAATGGATTTCTAACAAACCCATTCCTAATCCACCAAGTAACAATGCTTCTTTTGCTTTTTCTTTGGGGAGGCACCAGCCCTCTTTGGCAGAGAAGGCCAAGGGCCTTGTAAAACTACCACGATTCCATAGCATTGAGCCATGCACTTAAAGTGGTACCAAACCGCATTAACTCCACCCTTAATCTTCAACTACTAAAAGCACATCGCAATGTATTACAGACGGTTGTTGGGGCGGGGGAGGATGGGTTGTAGATGTTGTAACAGGCACACACACACCCGGGATCCGGAAGAGGTCGCCTTGAAGTGAACGACAGCTGAATCACGGCAAGCTACTTGGAAAGACCGCAAGATTTCCTAATTGCGTTCGGAAATTTTGAGCGGCACTGTGTTTTTTTGGTGCTGTAGAGGCGCCGTTCGCTGCTGTAGATTTATTGGCTAGAGGCGTATCAGCTGATCATTTCCCAGTGAGGTTCAATATGGCGGCGTCGGGAGTACCCAACCTGTGCTGAAAATGTGGAGCTCGGGCTTGACAGGTGCGGCTGCGCTGTTTTTCCTCTCCTTGGTGGCGGAGAAACGAGTGAGGCTCTGCTCGGAAGGAGGAGGAAGATGTTCTTGTCTCCCTCTGAGTCCTGAAAAGCGACTCTACTAGTTCAGAATTCTTCGGCCGCGCTGTAGGAATCACGTGTATCTATTATTTTCAGTAACCTGGGTGCGTCTGCACTGTAGAATTAAGGCAATTTGACACCACTTACGACTTCATCACTTTAGAGAATGAATCCACTTTAAATCCGGTTTCTGCCTCCTGTAGAATTGTGAGGTTTGTAGTTTAATGAGGCTGTTAAAGGCTCCTCCCTAAACTACAAACCCTAGAATTCTGCAGGAGGCAGCAACCGGATTTAAAGTGGATTCATTCTCTAGTGCGTTGTGGTATTTTAACTCCCATGGCTCAATGTTATGGAATCCTGATTTTTTTTTTAAAGTTTTGGAAGGTCTTTAGCTTTCTCTGACCAAGAGTTCTCACCAAATTACAAATCCCAGGATTCCATAGCATCGAGCAGTGGCAGTTAAAGTGGTGTCAAATTGCATTAATTCTGCAGTGTAGAGGCACTCCCTGTGCCAGGTTAGGTTTGTTTCTGACTCTATAGAATACGGGAGGCTTGTGTATGAACTTAATCTGACATTTGTGTTTCTTCTTTTCCCCCTGAGGATACAGGGAGCCCATAAAGTCACACCACGATTGCAGCGTAAGGAACATAATGGTAGCCTGCAGGCCTCAAAGAGCATCAGGGAGTTTCAGTTAAGTATCAAGCATGTTCAGTGGCTTTGAGGAAAAGTAATCAAGACCTTCAGTGGTTCTCAACCTGTGGGTCCCCAGATTTTTGGCCTTAAACTCCCAGAAATCTTAACAGCTGGTAAACTGGCTGGGACTTCTGAGAGTTGTAGGCCAAGACACCTGGGGACCTACAGATTGGGAACCACTGCTCTAGATCAAGCCTTGCTACCTGTCTACTTAAGATTACCAAATTTTCCTTTGTTCAGATAAAATCAAAGAGAATAACTCTTAGGATATATCTACACTGTCAATTGAATCCAGTGTGACACTACTTTAACTACCAAGGCTCATTAATATGGAATACTGGAAGTTGTAAGAGAAGTTGTAAGAGAAGTTGTAAGAGAAGTTTTGAGTCTTCTCTTCCAAAGAGTGCTGGTGCCTTACCAAACTAAAACTTTTTGTTCTTTTGGTAAATACTAAATATTACCACTTTAATATCAAATAGTAGTACTTGCTTCAGGACTAGTTAGAAAATAGTTTACTGCAAATATCTGTGAAGTAATTTTGTTGTTGTATGCTTCCAAGTTGTTTCTGATTTCTGGCAACCCTATCACTTGATTTTCTTGGCAAGATCCATTCAGAGGAGAGGGAGTCCATTTTCCCCCTCTTCTAAGCAGAGAGACATCTCCACGCTCACTCAGGGAATTTCCCTGGCCAATCAGGATTTCAAACCTTGGTTGCCAGAGTCCTAGCCCAACACCCAAATCACTAGTTGTTATAGTAAAATCACTACACTAGCTGTAGTGATTTTACTACAACCAGAAAGGCTAAGATTGAATATGTAGTTTGCTGTAAAATATCCTTAAACAAGGACACATGGTTTTCACAGATACAATTGGCAAGGGGTTGTTCCTCATTCACTTGTGCTCCCCCCCTTCACCCATACACAATAATGTATGATACCTTGGCTTTGGAAGGTGCCACTTAGAGCAGGAGTGCTGATGGATAAATGCATGGACTTGTAGGCTGTTTGCAATAGAAATAGCTTTTCTTCTATTTTCAGAATATAGTTGAGAGGAAATCGTATGCTGATGACAAGCAAGTCTTTGTGGAATTGGCATCTGAGATGCATTGTAGCTCCATCTAGAAGTGTAGTGGCACAGAAGATTCAGAAGAGTTGTAATCTCTTGTCATCAACTGTACTTCAGGTCAGAAGACGTTCTTCTGGCAAAGGCATGGAGGATGAACAGCTGCAAGAGATGAAAATAGATAGTGCTGATCTGATGCAAAATGTGGCTCAGTCACCTAAAGCAGAGACCAGTGGTAGCTGTGAGTCCATGCAAAATGGCAAAACCCTGATTACAGAAGGGAAGGCAAGAATAATTTTCCCAAGTGCCAATGAAGTCTTCTACAACCCTGTTCAGGAGTTCAACAGAGACCTCACGTAAGTATGAATGAGTGCAAATTTTATTGATTAACTCTTGGAATCTGTCCATGAATGATGGATGCTCTGATTTGTGTGTGTGTGTGTATTTTTAGAAAAGTGGGTGAAATTGGGATTTTTATCTTGGTGTTGTTAAACTGAATGTAGCTTTGGGATTTAGTTTATAGGGAACCAAAGATACCTGTAAATATTTTACATCTATGAATTCTTCTCTCAAAGGACATTTGTCTAGTTTCTTGCTGAAATATTTCCTGTACTAAAAATTGACTAATTTTCCTTATGTCCAAAAAGATCCTGGGGATTTATTGGTCTACGAGGAGGTGTGCTAGAAGATGTGTGAGTCCTTGTCCCATTAGAACACCGCCCACCCCCAGTTGCACCGTGTTGGACACATTTTTCACTAAAATGAATCGCTTCCACCAACAATCTCAAGAGGCCTGTGTCTTCATTGCCAGAAGGATCATTGGGAGAATGGCCATACTGTGTGTATCCTGATTTTGAATGACTTCAAGAGTCTTTTGGCAATTGATGTAGACTGGTACACCCATGATGATGAAACCATTGATAGAAGTAGCACAGGGTTATGAGTCCTTGTTACACTGATACTTTGCTTCTTTTAATCCCTATTGACAGCACAGCCCAAAGCATCCAGTTATTTGGATGGCAATGCTGGGAGCTGATTTATGAGACCATGCATACTGTAGGAAGTGTTTGTGTTTGGTGAACTTTGAAATGTAACTTATATTAAGCCTTTTCCACATGATTTGCTAACCCCAACACAGTACTTTTCATTAGTGCAACATAGGCATGGCCAAGGTGTTCAGATTTAACACTGCTCCCATCAGTCCTCACTTTTGGCTATGCTAGCTTGGGTTGATGGCAGTTGTAGGCCAAAACATCTATCATTATTAAATTAATTTTCAAACCCAATATTGCAAGATCTGCTTTTAAAAAGTAAGAGGAAAGTTGCCCTCACACAAGTTTAAGTACTGATGTCAAGTTTGGGGCTAATAATTTTGTTCCACTGTTTTTATAAAGTGACAGGTACATTTGGGTACCTAGCAAGTGAGGTTTTAAAGGATTTCTCGAAGTAATGTATTGAATGCCTACTGTCTGTTTATTGTTTTTGTATATTCTAGTTGTAAAGTGACAGCACTGCAGTGGTCTGAGTGGTGATACACTCTGAAATCCTCTTTTCTTTTGCTAATAGGTGTGCAGTCATTACAGAATTTGCTCGTCTGCAGCTTTCATCAAAAGGGATTCGGAGTGAGTAACAGCATATCCTTTTTTATTTCATGTAAGCCAATGATATGTAAGAAGCCCACTCACTGCTAGTGCTCATATAAAGTGATGCTTACATATTGTCCTAGTTTGTTTCACAGTCCAAACACTGGGATGATATGCATATTCGGAGTTCTCCTCAGTTCTTCCTAAGCGCTAGTCTTTCTCCTGCTCATAGTAAGCAGTTGCAGAAAAGTGAGTGGATAATCTGTTCTCCCTTCCAATTATATTGCTTGAATGATTGGAATCAGGACTATGGTCAGATCTGAGCTTTTAGCCAACTGAATGATATGAAGTAGCTATGGTTGACTTTGAAACTCTACGGACTATTACAGGAACATGAATGAAGAGACTCTAAATATACTTTCAAATAATTTTTAAAAATCCAGCCAGCCTTGCACATTTGTTGGGGTTAGAGGTACAGGACCCCTGCAAAAGTAGAAAAACCGTGAATAAAAGAACAGGTTTTTAAATCTGATGAAACAGCTCTTTTGGAGTCTTTAGGTCCTTCAGTGTGTCTCCATGGTCAGCTTCCACTAGATATTGACCACAGAATCATGCTGGAGAACCTGGAGAGTCCTAGAGAGAGCATATTCACCAAATCTACAAAAGTTAAACCCACAAATTTGGAGGGCTGACCATATTGCTGTTAAGCCAGGATTCTGTCCGCTCTAAAGAGCAGCAAGCAGGTACAGTCTGTTTGCTCAATTTATGTAAAGTGCAAGTATGCAAAGTTAACAGAAACAACTTTCAGCTTTTTGGATAGATGTACTTCTTCAGTTGCCTGTCAAACTCTTCTTCTGATTCTGGGAAATGGTTGTTAAACCTATCGGAGAATGTATGCAGTCAATTAGTAGCAGCTGAATTAAAGGAACAAACAATGTTCTATAAAGCCCTAAACGGTTCTGGCCCCACTTACCTCTCCGAACGCATCTCCACCTATGAACCGACTAGAACATTAAGATCGTCTGGGGAGGCCCTGCTCTCGGTCCCGCCTGCGTCACAGGCGCACTTGGCGGGGACGAGAGACAGGGCCTTCTCAGTGGTGGCCCCTCGGCTATGGAATGCCTTACCGGTAGACATCAGACAGGCACCATCGTTGCTGGCGTTTCGGAGAAAGGTCAAGACCTGGCTTTACGAACAGGTTAAACAGTGCAATCGAACACAGGAAGACGGTAAATGGAACATAGGAATGGCACAAGGATGATGAGACCGGATCTGATTTCACTGAGGCGCTATGTTTGTTTTATGTTGTTTGTTAATTCTTGTGGATTGATGTGTTGATCCTGTTGTTACATTTGTTGTGTTTTTAATTGCACTGACATTGTTGTGATAATTTTGTACCATGTAAACCGCATTGAGTCGCCTGTTTGGGCTGAAAAATGCAGTATAGAAATAAAGCAAATAAATAAATAAATAAATATTTACTGTATTTGTATACCTCTTTTCTCGGCCAGTTGGCGACTCAATGTTAGTGTCCCTGAAGTTAATATACTTAAGTTTAAAATAAAGCATTATAATTGAAAGCACTGAATGTGCAAACGAATTAAAGGCAAGAAATTTTAGTCAGCCCTGTTTAGCTTAATGTTGAATAGCATTCTGTATTGCAGTGGTATCTGTGATTTGGAGGATGAGTATTTTGTTCAGGCAGGATTCCAGGCATGGATTTCATATCAAATTCTGTCCTCCAGTTGCTGTCCCTGGGGAGGAAAATAGCTCTAAAGTGGTGGTGGATCTCTCAAAGGGAGAGAAAGACGATGACTTGGAACAGCATCTTTCTGATGATCAGCTGCAGGAGGAAGGTCATAAAGTCGCAGCAGTGGGAGAAGTCTGCCAGGTACTGCATCCTTCTGTTTATGGTTTGGGGTTTTGAGAGGGCTCTGAATCACACTGCACTAGATAGCAGTTTATTTTTTGTGTGCTGATTTATTATTTGAGAGCTGTTGATTCATCGTTTCCCCTTCTCTGTCCTTCCTGGATTTCTTTTTCTTTGTTCACAAATGCATCAATTTATTTTGTATGTTTTGTATGTGCCACCTTTCCTCCAAGAAGCCTCCATGTATTGGAGATTTTATGGCTGTCTATGGCCTACTGGATCATAGATAGACATAAAATTGAGCAGGTTCCATGTTTCAAATACCTGGGAGTAGCCCTCCATTCTACCAGTAGCAGAAAAGCCCATGAGGACCATGTGGACTGTGCAAAAGAGCTCAACTGCCATTCTCAAATATCTCAAGTTAAGAGGTGGCTACTTCATACCTGCAGCACTCAAACTATTTGAAGCCAACCCAGTTGCACAATTCCTGCATAGGCCCCTTCTCCAATTTTGCCCCACTAGATTGTGCAATCAAAATTTCTAAAGTCAGCCCTGCAAAATGGGTCTCCAGTATCATCCTGCGACTAGAGACAGACTTCATGAAAATGGAGGCCAGGGTGTGGGTGGTCATACTCAACTACTGGCTCAGATTATCCCTTTCTCCCCTTGGTTTTGCCCTACTAACTATGAGGGATGTTTTCCAGTCCACATGGAAACAGGCAGTAGCAATTAAATTCTCATCCTTGGGCTTTTCTCCAGGGTTGCAACTCAGAATGGGACAAGATCAGGCCAAAGCATTAATTAAACAACATATATTACACAAAGAGCACCAATTGGGTCCAGAGAATGCCCCAACCTTCATCGTCAATTAAGTCAGTAGGTACCTTGTCTCCCCTAGAGGTACCAACCATCGGAGGGCCATGACCCCTCATCAGCTGTATTACGGGGTCAATATTGGAAGACCTCTACCTGGAGAGACTCTGCCCCTGTGACTGGACACACAGAAACAACTAAACATGTGTTCCTCCAGTGCATGTTTTACATTTGAACTAGTCTAATCTCACCATTGCTATATAAACACCCCGGACACTCAGAACACCACCGTGTTGCTCTCAGATTCCAACTCTCTTACAACCTATAATGTTGCCACATTCCATGCGGCAGTGCTTATTATTTGCCAAGTGATGGCTGGTACCATAAGTTAACATTCTAACTTATCAGAAAATTGTAATGATAGATAGATAGATAGATAGATAGATAGATAGATAGATAGATAGATGATAGATATATTTTAATGCTCCCACTCTCTAGTCTCCTAGACCTGTGTTTGACTGTACCCCTCCCTCTTATGCGCCCTCATATTCCCTCCCTCCATATTTCCTTCCCTTTTCCTTTTCTTCTAGATTTATTATTATTATTAATATTATTATTATTATTATTTCTAATCTTATGTTTTAGCTTTTTTAATCTACCTTTGTATTTTAGCTTTTAGCCTAGATTTTAATTATTTCAATGTATTATGCTTTTATCAAACTGTACCCACTCTCCTTATTCTGGTCTATGACTGTAATACAAGATTTGAGTGCCTGGCCTGAGGCCACTTAGTGAACTTCGTAAATAAAACCACCAGTCCTGTTCCTCCCCACTACCAGCCAATCCTAGAGTCTCAGTTTCAGATACAGAAGTCTGAGAATGGGGAAGAGGAGCTGATTTGGATACAGTTTGAAGGAATCACAAGTCAGTGCTTCAAGTTGTGCCACAAAAGTTAACTTGCATTGATTTTAGCATGTAAAGTGTTCCTAAGACTGTAAGTTGCATGGAAAAGATTTGTTCCATAACTGCTTCAGTCAGCTCATTTGTTTATTGACAGTTCTGCAGCTGCCATCATACTGGGCTTAAATCTTATGGGAGCTGGGGCAAGTGCACCCCAAAGAAGGTCTAAGTCAGCAGTTGTGTTAGTGTTGAACTCCATTCTTTCAGGCCTCCCTCTGCCTCTCTCGCTATATCATTCCTCTTGCTCCTTGCAGGATGGGCTGAGAGTGCTGGAGGCCTTGGCTGCTTCTGGACTACGCTCAATTAGGTTTGCCAAGGAGGTTCCTGGCCTTCGCAGCGTGGTGGCTAATGATTTCTCTTCCAAGGCTGTGGAACTCATCACCCAAAATGTTCAGCTTAATGATGTGGGTCACCTGGTGACTCCAAGCTTTTCAGATGCCCGGTAAGTACAGATCTATTGAGTCTGGATGTTGGGGCCCTTCCTCACTTGACAGCTTGATCAGTTTGTCTTCTTCAATGACCTAGATGACAGTACAGCTGTTGCTGGGGTGTTTTGGGTATAGCTCAAAGAGGAATGCAGGCAAGACTTCCCAGGGTCAGCCCAGTGCATTGGAACAACTGGTTGATTTGAACTCCTGCATATTAGGAAATTATAGTCTGGCTGCCTTCAAAAAATCTTGAAACGAAATCTGAATGTTAATCAGATTTTGAGTTTTGGGTTCAGATAGGGGTTTTGAAGAGTAGCTTTCCAGATATTGTTGGACTACAACACTCAGTAGCCCTAGACACCATAGCCAAAAGTGAAGATTAATGGGAATGGCACAGGACAAATGTGCAATGAGCCAAGCATAAGCTTTTCCATGGCCTAGCCTCATTTGATGGAAAAGTTTATGCATGGCTTATTGAAAGTTTGTTCTGTGCCAAGTAGGTTATGTGACCCAACCGTTACATTAGCAAGCTTGGGACAGGTCCCCACCTTGCCCCTGTCCCTGCCCCAGAATTTCTTCAGGAGCCTTGTTTTGTGATACAGAGTGAAAGGAAAGGAATTAATGGCTTTGAATCATCTACTAAATCTGTCCAGCCCTTAACATTTCATCATCGCCATTCTCCAGGCCGTTGTGGCACCATTGGGCTCACGAGGACCTCATCATCACCCTCCTCCATGCTGCCATGGCTCCAGTTGATTATTTGTTGTTGTTTGTTCGTTTTGGCAATTAATGTTTGCCACTTTGCTCTTTTCTCTGTAAACCACCCTGAGTCCCTTTGGGGAGTCAGTGCGGGTTATAAATGTATTATTATTATTACTACTACTATTGTTATTATTTTTATACCCATGGTTAGGTTCCTGCAGCTCAGAAGCAATATGCAAGCCACTCCACTCCACCCCCCCCCCCGCCCCGCTCACCAGGCCATAAACTAACCAAAATGAAACAAAGCAAACAATCCAGAAGAAACCTCATGTCTTTGCACTCCTAGCAATTTCTGACTCCACAATTAAAAGTTGTGAGTGACATGCTGCCTCTAAATCTTAACTGGATGCAGTTCTGTAGCTTATATAAATACTGATTTTGAAGCAGAATCAGCGGTGCCCCTGTGTGAGATGCCTGTATCTCTGCAGTCAGTCAAGGTACAAATGGCTACTAGTGCAGTGGCTTGTTTCATAAATGGTGGCCCAGAAACATTTGTGTTTCACTGGCCCAGTTATTCAAACTTACAGGATTGCCACTGAGATATATTCTTGAACACTCAAGCACTTCTTGCAGGTAGTCTGGTTTTTCATTCTGGCATTTTTTTATTTTCTGTGTAGTAGTAATAAAGCTTTTACATGGAGAAGTGCTCCACTCCAATCCTAAGTGAAATCGTTCATGGTCTACTATACCACTGAGGCTGCAGTTTCCTTCGTTCTATTCATGGGAAGTGCTGCTTCTGAGCACCTCTCTGTTTCTCGTGCCCAGGATGGTGATGTATCAGAGTAAGGCAGACAAAGCACTCTTTGATGTAATCGATCTGGACCCATACGGCAGCCCTTCCACTTTTCTGGATGCTGCAGTGCAGGCGGTCAGTGAGGGAGGTAAGATGGCAGTTTTTGTCACATCTTAAGTTTTCCCACCTGGGTTGAAAAAATAGGTCCGTTGATATCTTTTGTAGTGTGTCTATCCTATATTTTAAAAATTGCAGGTTGGGGAATTCAGCTTCTCCTTCTCTTCACCAGCCTGCAGAATCAGATTCTTGTGAAAGGCAGATCTACAATTAGCCCAATTTTCTATTTCTAAGATCAAAATCCTTCTAAAGCTGAGGAAGGCAAAATTTGTCCAACATTGCCCAATATTCTTGGACTACAACTCCCAGTGTTCCTCACCATTTGACAATGCTGGTTAGGGCTGATGGAGGTTGTAGTCCAACAACATCTCACTAAAGGGTGGCAAATGTTTAAATGTTATTGGGATGTAATATAGGAAGTGGTGGGAGGGCACATGGGAAATTAAACTCCTGGCAAGTCTGTCTGCAGCTGGCTTTGGGAAATTATATGGCTCCCTCAACCTTCTGAGGGACTGAATGACTTCTGCCAGGGGAATGTAATTGTCTCATTGATGTTCCCTTTTGGCACCTGCATTCTGTGTTTGTTCCCTGCCTTATAGTCACGACACAGGAGACAGCAGTCATTTCTTTTACCATGGACTGGTTTAACTGTAGGCTCTTCTGAAAAGAATAATGTCATATCACAGACCCCCCCCCCCTCCAAATGTGAAGAATGGTGGTTGTCTTAACTATGTATTGCTTGCCAACTGTTGTGTGGTTTGATACTTGCTTAGGTATATTGTGGGGAGGAAGTGTATATCACATTTTATGTGCACTATCTTCACTTTGGGCATACTGTTGCAGGTCTCCTGTGTGTCACATGTACTGATATGGCTGTAATGGCTGGGAACTCTGGGGAGACCTGCTACAGCAAGTACGGGGCCATGTCAATCAAGGCCAGGTTCTGCCATGAAATGGTGAGTAGACGGAAGTGTGAGGAATCCTGATGCGTACAGCCTGTGCCCTTCTCTCATTGGCCTATCTCCTACCCTGCTCGAAAGGAAACAAATGATTCCAAATTGGTGCTTTTGCAAGGTTCAGCGGTAGTAGCCAGCAGCGCTTGGCAAGTGTCCTTGTCAAAAGTAAAGAGACTGTGGGATTGTAGCCTTTTCTCCTGGACTGGCTTTTCTGTGCTTCACTGAAGGACAGCCACATAATAACGAATTCAAGTAAAAACTCCTTTTCTAGATGATGAAACCTAGGGATGCATGAAAATTTCCCAGTATATGAGGAAGACATCAAGGCTTAAAGGCAGCATGAATCGCACAATGTGTAGCTAACTATGTGGTCTTTGTCCAAAGACAGCCATGGCTTCCTTTTTCTGCAGGCCTTGCGGATTATCTTGCACAGTCTTGACCTGCGTGCCAACTGCTACCAGCGTTACATTGTCCCACTCCTATCTGTCAGTGTTGATTTTTACATTCGTGTTTATGTCCGGGTCTTCACCGCACAGTCCAAGGTCAAAGCATCTGCCAGGTGAGCCTGCCCCAGACTTCATTGCACTGCTTTACATTTCCCATTGTGCTTTATCTGCTGGGAAATGTACACAAATCTCCTGTGTGGTGCTTCCTACTGCTCCCACTTCTCTGAGATAACAGAGGGGCTTATTTAGTTATTTTCTTTACATTTTTCCCATGGACAAACTTCTCTAATTCTTTATCTCCAAAATTTCATTGTTTCTGTTGGGGGTTTGTTCCCTTTTGTCCTTCAGTAAACAAATTCTATAAACTTCCCCCATATTTTCCAAAAGTCTGTTTCTATATTCCCTTTTAAATTTGATGTCACAAGTCAGTTTGTCTTTAAGTGCTATATTCCAAACTTCTCTATACCATTTTTCCAATGGGATTTCACTTTTATCTTTTCATTTTTTTCGCTATTATCAGTCTCACTGCTGTTAAAACATTGGAAATGAGTTCCTTCACTTCTTGTGAGGATTTAGTATTGTCATACAGTGATAATAATGCTATTTCTGGTGTGCTCTTTATCTCTATTTTTATTATCCCTTTTATTTCTTTTAATACAAATTCCCAAAATGTTTGTATAAATATACAAGACAACCACATATGGATGTATGAGCCTATTTCTTGGCATCCTCTCCAGCATTGATTTGAGTATTTCCCATGTATCTGATTTTATCTAATTGGTGTTAAATACCATCTCCATATTATTTTACAATAATTTTCTTTAATTCTTACACACATATTTTTAAAGTACACATATTCCATATTTTTCCCATTTTTGAATGTTCAAAGTTCTTCCAAAGTCTTAATTCCCATATTTCTTTGAGATGGTCTTGTTCCTGCTCATCTCCCAATAATAATTTATAAATATCACTTGTACTTTTTATTGTACATTAGCTTCTCTTTGGATAATTATCTTCTCAAATTTTGTGTATTCTCACCCTTATATTACTTTTGTATATCAGTGATCATTTTCCCAGTTGTAAGTATTTATACCATGCAATTTTACCTCTTAATGATTGATATTTTATTCTTTCTTTACCTGTCATCTTTAAATCCCACTTTTATTTTCATCATTTCTCTTCGTTTAAAATCTTCTACAGTAATTTTTTTAAGGATTACACGGAAATTTTCTATAGTCAGTATCAGTGTTAAAGGTGATATACCTGGCATCAACTTTATTTTATACTTCCAAAAAATTTCCATAACATTTTAAGGAGTTATTTAACTTGCTATACCAATTCTTCTATCTTCCATTTTTATCTAGAAAAATATATATTCCAATTTCAAATCGATTATTTTATCATCTTCTTCTAACCATTCCAAATCTCCTTGATTGGCTTGGTTTGGGAGGCCTAAGCCACCTTCTTTTTGTGGTTTATACCATTTACTTTTATTTATTCTGGCTTTTTTATTTCAATTACAATAGAAATTTAACATTTTGCCAGTTTTTAAATTCTTGTTCTGAAAATTCTTGTTCTGAAAATTTTATAGGTAGCATTCTAGGTAATATCTTCATTTTAACCATTTTGTCAGAGAATGCTTAAATTTAGCATACTCTGGCAATTTAATATTCACTTCCTTTCTCTATTTGGTAAAGTTGTTTATCTCTAAATTCTCTTATTCCTAGATATTTAATTGTCTCTCTGATTTTGATTTTTCCCTCCTGCTTTAATTTTTTTTTCTTCTCCCTGATAATTAAATTGTAACACTTCTGACTTGTTCCAGAAAACTTGTAGACCTGTTATTCTTCCAAACTCTGTTAAGTGAGCTTAAATTTTTCCCACTGTTGTATTGGGTTTTTAACAGTTACAAGAGTATCATCTGCAAATAAATTTATTCTGTGTTTTCCCTTAATTCCTATTCTTTCCCCCAATTTTGCTTGCAGTAGTGATGGAAATATTAGCTATTGTAATTTAGAGAAGAAGTAAACATAAAACAGAGGGGCTTATTCACTGCAATCAGTGTTTCCTTTTCGGTAACTTTTTTTTTTCTCTTGACAGCAAGCAGGCCTTGGTCTATAATTGTGTGGGCTGTGGTTCCTTTCATATACAGAGACTTGGCAAAATGGCTCACAATGGAAACAAGTAAGAGAACTGGGTGTTTTTAATGCCTTTTAGCAATAGTTCCTTCCATTCTGTTACTTTAGCCAATTCAATGGGTAGATGTAGGAACAATTGCATTGAGAGATATTCCTGTGCCAATCGGAGAAAGATCTGTCTCTCAGCAAGGTGTCTTTTTACAAATGCAGGTCACATCAGTAATATGTTTTCCACTCAGTATCCTTTCATGTTTTCTTTATGAAACCATTGCACAACTATTGGCAACCCACTTTCACCTTGTTTTCCTCTGTTTTGCCGAGTATAGGGCTTTACTTACAATCATGTGTCTGAGACATTTATCAGCCTTTGAGCTAAGATCAAGTGTCTACTTGTCTGAGACTCAGTGAATAGAAAAGGGTGAGGTGTTGTTCCTGGATGGAAAGGAAATCTGTGTTTACTATGAATTGTAACTGAAACCAAATCCAGCCTAAACATTTCAATGTTGCCTATAAACATAAAAAATAGTTATTCTCTCAGTTACAGACATGACGCAAAAGGGTTCTCTTCACAGGGACTGTAAACTGCCAAACAGGAAGGGCAATGAAGGTCCAAAGCTGAGCACCAAGCAGGGGCCGTGAACCTTTGCCCGATGCCAAGTATAGTGGACCCAGTTCTCATTCCTGTATGGGGAGAAGCATAGCAGCGGTCAGTTAGTCTATTGGCTGTCTAGTTAGTCTACTGCATGTTGAGAAATGTAGTTATCATGCACCTGAATGATCTAAGGAAAAAAAACGCCTAGAAATTGGCCCCTTCCTAGCCTGAGGGTGATCTTAAACTTCTTGCTCTCTCTTGCCAAATAGTATCAACTACAAGGCTGCCTGTGGGCCTCCTGTGGGCCCTTCCTGTGAACACTGCCATCAACGCCACCAGGTGAGCTTCCCTGGTTTCAAGGCCCCATTGTCAGATGATTCTGGCCAAGAGATTCCCCAAGTGACCTGTGCTTTCCTCCTCCTGCAGCTGGCTGGCCCTTTCTGGGCGGAGCCTCTCCACGATGTGGCCTTTGTCCAGCAAGTCCTCTCAGCTATTGGGAGCAACCCAGGACGCTTCCAAACAGGCCAGAGGATTCAGGGCATCCTGAGCATGGCGCTGGAGGTGAGCATAGTGCCTGTGGCTGCTTAGACAAGGACAGCTCTTGCAGAATAGGATCAAGTCCCCTTTAAGATCCCTTCCAGTGGGGAACAATGTCTCATCAGGTTGTAAAGCAGCACACTGGCTCTTTTGCTGTGCAGCAGAGCCAGTGAGTACAGCAAATGGTATAGTTACATTTAAGAGGCACTAAACAAATGTATGTGTGCATACGTTGCATTGTGGCTATTTGTTTAAAATGGAAATGCTAAAGGATGTATTAGGGTTACTGGCAGGTATTTTGTTTTTAGCCCTTTTCAGTCCAGGCTGTTGGTTTTTAGATTGTGTTTGTAAAGCAGCATATTTAGAAGGTTCCCAGGGTTCCTGAGAGTGAAGTGCTGCTAAATTCTCTCTTGCAGTCCATTGCAATGAGGTCTGCAATGTCTGGCTCTCCATTTGTGTAAAGTGAGGGGGAAATTAGGAAGCTGGGCCTGGGTCTATGTGATCTGAGTGTTTTCCTTAGACCTTTCATTCTGAGCTGAATAAATTAGCAATTCTTATTGATTCTCTGAGGCAGAAAGTTTAGAAACCACTGATTTTTTCTGCTAAGATTCTCTGTAAGAAAAGTTTGTACTGCCTCAGCTGCGGTAACACCAGCTCTAATATTCTGTCTGACTAGTCTGTTTCTGTCTTCTGTGGCAGGAACTCAGTGATGTTCCTCTTTATTATACCCTTGATAATCTCAGCAAAACCGTCCACTGCAGCAGTCCTTCCTTGCTGCAATTCAGGTAAGATTGGGAATGACAGGGCAAGAAATGGTTTATTTATTTATTATTTATTTATTTACTTTATTTGTATACCGCTCTTCTCAGCCCTTAGGCGACTCAGAGCGGTTTACAACAGTTTAGATATACAGAATACAAAATCATTATGCATTTAAAAACAATTACTAGTATTATATTGCATTACATTACAATATTATAAATATTATATGTATATACAATATATTATATTATAACATATTATTACAATAGCACAGGAGACAAGGTGGAACAAGGTGATATCCTGAGAGAAGTGAGCAGGAGCTCAACCGTGTAGTATGTGGCAATGGGCAGGGCCGCATCTTAGTTACTGGGAGGACCAAGAAGCCTTTTGGGAGGGAGCGGTCAACTACCCTGTTTAAGGAGCTCCACTAGCTGCTGTTTATTTTCCGGTCCCAATTCAAGGTGCAGGTTATCACCTACAAAGCCCTAAACGGTTTGGGACCCGCCTACCTTTGTGACCGTATCTCCCGCCATGAACCATCTCGGGCCCTCTGATCTTCCGGGGAAGCCCTGCCAGTCTCCCAAGCTTTCCTAGTGATTACAAGGGAGAGAGCCTTTTCCGCTGTGGCTTCCCGACTCTGGAACTCACTGCCTGGAGAAATTAGTAAAGCCCTTTCCCTAGAAATCTTCAAAAAGAACCTTAAAACCTGGCTCTTCTGCTGCACCTTTGATGAGTAGGTATATAATCCCACATGATTGCTCTGCCTCAGAGTTCTGTCATTGGAATATATGTCCCCGCTCATGGGAAAGCTTGATTCCACAACTCCCGCTAAAATGAGCCCTCCTCCGTAAATTACCTGCTTCCCTCTTTTATCTCGCCCGGGTTTTTAATTAGTTTTAATCAGTTTGTCCTTTAATCACTACATGTAGCCTCCCCATTATTATTGTGCCTGTGCATATATTTTATTTTTTATATTTTTATGTATTCATATGTTTTATGTAACTGTGATGTTATTGTTTATTGTTCGCGTTTTTGGTTTTTCTTTATTGTAATTATCATTTGGGCTTGGCCTCATGTAAGCTGCTCCGAGTTCCCATTGGGGAGATGGTGGCAGGGTATAAATAAAGTTTATATTATTATTATTATTATTATTATTATTATTATTATTATTATTATTATTTTATTTTATTTTGCGATCCAAACCTTAGACCTGGTGTCTTCACTGGCTGTCTAATAAGCACACCCAACACTTTTATTTCTTTGGAGTTCTGCTCTGGGATTCAGTCTTTACCTACAGTTCACTGGTTCTTTATGGTTTGGGCCCAAGCAGACCAGCTGTTTAGAATACTAGATCAGGGTGGAAAATGTGTAGTTTTTTTTTTAGATGTTTTTGTACTGCAGCTGCCCACATTCCTCCCTATTGCCAACTGCTGACTACAGTTCATGAAAGTTGCAGTTCAGCAAACATCAGGAGGTTGCAAACGGTTTGTTCCATTACATAAAATGCACAGGCCTTAATGCCTGAGTTTTCAGGTTGTCCAAAATATCTTTATCCCATGGCAAGACAGGTTATTTTTTGATGTAATTTTTTGCCTGGCTTCAATACACAATTGCTTTTAGCTTTGGAATTGACAACTTATGTGTGGTGAGGTGGGGGAGTTTTGGTTCACTTTGTACAATATGAGATGAAGAGCATTTCACAGACTCTTTGGGAAGACCAAGCTGACAGGTTCTAGCTTATTGGCTGCAACAACTAGCAGACCTTTAGGGTGGCAAGCTAGCAGCTCCCAGTTTTTAACGATTGCATGTCACATAATCTTGGCCACAATCTCTAATCCATACAGAGATCATTTTAAGGCTAAAAAGCCCCTCTACACCAGCTTCTGTTAATGTTTTTTCCCCTTTGGAAGCTAGGATGTTCTGTGTAAGATTTCTTTGGGTTTCCTTTCCAGATCGGCTCTCCTCCATGCTGGTTACCGGGTGTCGCTCTCACATGCCTGCAAGAGTGCCATCAAGACAGATGCACCGCCGCCAGTGGTTTGGGACATCATGCGCTGCTGGGTAAGTTGAGCAAGGGATTACTTTTGTAAAAAGGAGCTTTCCCTTTTGGATCATTGACTGCAGACACCTCCCAGAATAGCTGGGAAGGTGCTCTGGTTTTCAGACTCTCTGTATACTGGTCAGTCTTGGCATTGGCACCACTCTCTTTTTAGTATGCTGTGATGGGGGGGGGGGGGGGGGGGGGGGGGGCATGAAAGCCTGCATTGTGTCCTTCTGTCTCACTGCAATGATGTCTAGTTTTCAGGACACTCCATACTGCACTTTTTCCTACACATGTGCTGTGCCATTTGGGTCTGGTGTGATGCAGTTCCATACACATGTAATAAATATATGGAACCAAGAAAGAGCTTGGATATGCTTGCAGGGGCTGAATTCCCAAATCCCTTTCTCTTTCCTGCCCATTCTGCAGTCACATCTCAATGAAAGGATAGTAACATAAAACTTCTCTCCTTCTTTCTCCAATATTCTTATCCCTCAACTTCAGGAGAAACTCAACCCTGTGAAGCGAGAGCGCCTGTCCGAGAGCAGCCCAGCTGCCCGCATTCTCTCCTTAGAGCCCAAGTAAGTGCTGGAGACTCTGAGAGCAGAATCATAGAATGGGCCATCTAGTCCAAGCTCCTGCCGTGCAGGAAAAGCACAATCCAAGCACCCCTGACAGATGGCCCTAACACCCCTGACACTCACCACCTTATAAACAAGTACCAAGCCTTTAAACAACAAGAGACAAAAACTCAGCTTTCTAGTGCCCTCTAAGAGACAAGGCTTAAATCAGGTCAAGATGGCTACCTGCTTCTTCTTCGTCCACTGGAGTTCAATAGTGTTTGAGATTGAGTTTTTGCTGGATAAATGACTACGTGCAGTTAAGGTGGATTTATTTTTACAGAAAAAAGATAGAGGAACGTGAACACACATCGATATGGGGCATGTTTTTAAAAAAAATAAAATGAGTTTTCAAGATAGCATCAGTACATATGCAGAAATGTGGTTTGCCACTTAGAAGTTGTTCAGCTCTTTCTAAGAGAAACAAATGCTGTGTCACTTCATTTTGTGATAGGCAGTACCTGCTGAGTAACTGAGGTTGAGTTTTTTGACTTCCTTCATGGCTGACGCTTTCAACTCCACAGGTTGCAGGCATCCTTCACGGTACGGGCAGATGCTAACCCTAGCTCACGAAAACAGGGCCTGAAAAGATTCCAGTTGAATCCAGAGCGCTTCTGGGGGCCGAAAGCAAGAGCCAAAGCTGGGTAAGGGTCACAGGAAATTAGGGGATGGTGGGACAACATCTACCCAGATTCTGTATAGAAATCTCCTGGTGACCAGGGATTACGCCAGCAGTTTCTGGGCCTAGCAGAGAAAGCAAATTGGAGTCCTGTGGATATTGGCTGCAACTCTCCATTATGCTGTGGTATTAAACTGAGCAGAAGGAGCAGCTAGCTCCTTAACACATCTGTTGGGTTAGGGGAGGGGTTTCTTCCAATCTCCAGGAGAAGAGAAAGCTACACCAGAACAAGAGGAAGGCATGTGGAGAAGAGAGCGACGGGGCCCACTTGAAGAATTTCCCCTGCAAAAGGTTCCGGCAGGTGAGCACTTTTAGGGGCTGTGCTAGTGTTTGGAACTGGGCAAGCCTGAGTTGCCTTTTGCTGGTCCAGAGGGTCTGCTAGGCCTACAGAATATTACTCAGGTAGCATTGGGGGCCAAAAGGGAAACTGCAAAATTTGCCACCTAGCCATCTTCTTTCAGTGAGTGAAACTCCACTAAGTGTCAATCTGGATTCAATACACTCACTCAAAAGAAAAGAAGAAAAAAAAGAAAAAAGAGGTTTCCTGAGTGCCTGATTAATCTGGTCATGTCCTGTTTGGGAAGGTTTGCTTGGAGTTTCCCCTCTTCCCAGAAACTGTGGAAAGCCACTTGGAAGACTTGGTGTGTCCCACTTCTGTGCAAAACTGATGTCTATATTCAGTGGAAGTATTTTGAAAGCATGCCCTGGATTCTTGGGTTAAAACAATATGAATGTGTGTATTTCAAAGGAGAATTGTTTTTGTAAGATTTGGAGGAATACAATGTGTGTTCTGTTCTTGTCTAGCTTTTACAGGCTGTGTGTATGTGAGGAGAATGAGGGTGGGATATCATACGTGGCCTGCCTGACTTACTGCAATATTAATGTAGTATTAAGTTCTGTTGCAGGAAGCCAACTTCAAAGTGTGCGCTTATGCATGTAAAGGCCAGTTGAGCAGTGCTTTCTGAACTGAATAAGGATGTGAATATCTGATTTAAGATGTAAAATAATGGCCATGTTTCCCTTTCAGGGTAACTGTTCACTTGGAGACAAATGCCGTTACTCTCATGAAACAGAAAAAGAGACAGAGCCAAGGGATGCATCATGACGAAATTGTTTCCAGAATACCTGCTTGGGTTTGACTTTTGTTATAAGGGAGAGTCTTTATTTTAAAATGATTGTCCCTTGGTTGTCTGCCTGTTATTAAATAAGAATGATATCTTTTAATGGTGCTTCATCTGTATTTCCCAGTCCAGCCTGAGAGAATCCATGATTTTGAGGTGTTGAGTTGCTCCATTTCAGAAACTCAGAGCCTTCATGTAAGATATGTGGAAGATGTCAAATTATCCAGGACTTAATTAAAAAAAATACTGCCATGTTGAAATCTGCATGCTTGCAGGAACATGTGAATTCCCACATAGGCACTTTGGAAAAATCCAGACAGGAAGCTAGTCAGCAACTCACTGCACTGAAGTGCCAGTCATTCTTTGCCTGACAGCTAAGGAAATCACTTTTGCCAGTGTTAGACTGGAGCTATCTAGATTGAAATGAACATACATCCACACATGATAAAAGTACCAAATAGTTGGCTGCTAGGTGTAGTGTAATATTAAATAGCAGCTTGCCTTCCTCTCCTTGGCACTGAGCTGGAGTGTGGTCGCAAACAGATGACAGCTCATTCATAAAGAAGTGGTTTATTCCAAAGTTAATGATTGCACTTATGGTAGCTCAAGTACTGCAACAAATCCACCTACCCGCTTACGTGTGAGTGCATTCGAAAGGGAAGTGGGGAAGGGACAGAAGGACAATTAACCAGTGATCCCTTTTTCAATCAGCGGAACGTAAAAGAGGACCCAATTGCCCTTAATTAATTTCCAGCGTGGAGCCGCCTTGAAGAATCTTCTCTCCACAAACAGTGAGAACATGTGGCGCAACTTGACAAGCCCTAGCAGAGAGTGCCAACTCCCTGCCATTCCTTGAGGCAGCAGCTGAATTGGCAGGACATTCGATGCTTCCTCAGGCTCTTCTTCTAAAGCTGGCTTGGGGCTGAACATGAGCCAGGAAAGTCCGGATTTCCATGGGTTGTAGCGTGATCTGAGTTTGATCTAGACGAGCAGAATCTGCTTTCTGCTCTGCTGCTCCTGTGGATAAGGAGGAATTAAGGGAAGAGTGAGAATGGCATACGATTATCAACAGCACTCTAGTTGATCAACTAGCGGAACAATGGCTTCAAACTACAAAAAAGGAGATTCCACCTGAACATTAGGAAGAACTTCCTGACTGTGAGAGCTGTTCAGCTCTGCCCCAGAGTGTGGTGGAGGCTCCTTCTTTGGAGGCTTTAAAACAGAGGCCCGATGGCCATCTGTTGGGGGTGCTTTGAAGGCGATTTTCCTGCTTTTTGGCAGAGGGTTGGACTGGATGGCCCACGAGGTCTCTTCCACCTCTGTGATTATATGATGATTTCTGGTGTTAAGACATGAGCCCTATTCCTGTCTTAAACTGATTTTTTAAATGAAAAACTTATATCAATACATTTGAGACATGGTAGTTTATACTAAGTAGCACTTGTTCATTTTTAAGGTGACTGCAGAAGAATCTGCTCTTTTAGACATAGGTTGCTTGATCAGAGATGGAGTCCACTCTGATAGCCTTTTGGTGATCTTAGATATACACTGGTTGACCAATGAAACCTAGATTTACGTGGAAGGATTCTTCCAAATAATGAGATGGGTGGCAGTGAAAAGGTGAATTTCCCCAAGTCCCCAAAATCTGATTGTTTTTCCACTTGCAGAAGAGCACTTTTGCTCCAACCTTTAAACAGTTGTGCAGTTTAGGTGAGCTGAATGCTAAGCTGGTTCAAAAGGACCAGCTGGTCCAAAGTGCACCAATTCACTTCTTGCTTGCAGCATGTATCACATGCGAGTGTGGAGAAGAGCAAACCACAGACCACCTACTACAGTGCAGCCTGAGCCCTGCCACATGCACAATGGAGGACCTTCTTACAGCCACACCAGGGGCACTCCAAGTGGCCAGCTTCTGGTCAAAGGAAATCGAGCATAATGCCAAGTGTTTAACTTTGTTTGTGGTTTTAAAAATACATTATAACTGTATTCTCAATGTGCTTCTGGCATGATAAATAAATAGCATGTAGCAGATGGTGAGTGGAATCCTACTCATCCAATACAATTGCAATTGCACTTTTACCTATAGAGACACAGCAGCAGTGAGTGAAGGCAAACAATTCTGCCAATTCTGAGCAGTCTGTTTTGCTAATGGCTTCCTTTTGCAACTCATCTATCCACAGCTTCCCCTCACCCCCACCCCAAAATATCAAGTGGTTTTATTAGCTTCCAGGCTCAGTTAAACTCGGCAAAGACCATAAAGTTAAGAAGGGCTTGTTCCCACTGGCTGTCGTCCTCTTGAAATAACAAGCACCGGCTTAGTGGGCCCTGCTTGCAACTGAGGACGCACCTTTAGCGGACTGCCAGATTAACCTCTTCATCTCCTCCCGCTTCTGATTAGCAGCCAGGCTCATCTCTTGCAAACTGATGATGTTGAAAGAAGAGAACAAGTTCTGGAACAGAAAGCAAAATCGTAGATAATGTAGTGAAGATTCAAGAGTAATAATAGAATAGCTAGTAACAGATACAGCTATGCGGCAAGACTGAACTCAGCCCTCATTCCTTTTGAGGTGTCCCAACTCTTTATATAGTTTTGGAAGATGAAACACAATGAACTGAGTATGGTTCTTTAACTGTGTCCTCTTAAATACTGTAAATTTCAGCACTAGTATTCTTCTATCTTGAATACTACTGAGTGAGCTTGCAAAATTAACTGGAATGAGTAAAGTAAGAGGCTGGCTGGGAAATGACTGGTTCAAATATCAGTTCAGTTGCTATTTCACTATAAAGCCAGAGGTCCAGCAGCTTCAGTCTCTTATCAGAAGATGAGGATAATAATGCCTCCTTTCTTCAGGACTACTGAGAACTGGAATATACCTGAGGAAGCTGTGGCCCTCCAGATTTTGGGAGTCCAATTCCCATCAGCACCTGCCAGATTACTTAATGGGAGTAGTTGTTTGATGACCACAGGGTTTTTTTAGTATTTAATTACTGTACTTTATATGCAACAGTCCACTGAGAAACAATGCCTTTTTTTCAATTTTGTCGGAAACTGTGCACCCCCACCCTTGCCCCCAGGTGAGCCCTTAAGATGAGGGCCTCCAGGACCGGTTTGAGGCAATAAGTATCACAAAATCCAAAAGCCTCGCATCTTCCTCCAAACAAAACAACAGAATCAGATACAAATAGCAAACACTGCTGGTTGTTTTTGGGGGAAAAAATTGGCCTGTGCACCCTTCACAGTTGCCAGAGACCTACCTGCAAGTTAACAACAGCCGGCATAGAGCCATTAACACTCTCCTCGTGTTCAAACTGATGCTCCAGGCGGATGAGAACAGTGCTGGGCTCCCACTGGGCCAAGGTCAGCAAGTGGACATTGGAAGGGAGGGCATGGTTCAGGGCAGTGTACTGGCAATTGGGGCAAAAAGGGAGAAAGAGTCAAAGGGACATTGCAAGACTAAACTACCATCAAGTTAACAAAGGACTTCATTCAATTTAGTTCCAGCTCACTGACTAGCCAGAGCAATCGGACAAACTGGCATTTAAGTAAATGCATTTTTTTTACAAGATCCAAAATACAAACAAATTACCAAAAACGGATAAAGTAAAACTACATTTAATAAAAGGAATATTCTGCTAAATATAACTATATCTTGAATTCTAACTTATTAAATACAACTCTAAAGTAAAAGTAAAGGTTTTCCCTGACATTAAGTCTGGGGGTGGTGGTGCTCATCTCTATTTCTAAGCCAAAGAGCTGGTGTTGTCCCTAGACACCTCCAAGGTCATGTGGCCACTATGGGTGAATGGAACGGCACTACCTTCCCACTGAAGTGGTACCTATTGATCTACTCACATTTGCATGTTTTCAAACTGCTAGGTTGGCAGAAGCTGGTGCTAACAGCGGGAGCTCACCCTCCTCCCCGGATTCAAATTGCCGACCTTTCAGTCAGCAAGTTCAGCAGCTCAGCAGTTTAACCCACTGTGCCACTAGGGAGCCCATTATACAACTCTACTCTTTTTTAAAAAGCCTGTTAATTAGGTCTGAAGTAGATCTTCAAGAAGATGTGTTGCTCAAAATATCGTATATTGAGCCAAAGTCATGCATCAACATAAGAGGCCACCTTCTAGCTCATTACTGTCTACTTAGCTATTCTATCTATCTATCTATCTATCTATCTATCTATCTATCTATCCCCCCAGAAGGATTCAAGGCAGCTAATAACTACACTTTGATTAATTTAAAACAATGAATACAAAAAATAAAAACAAATAGTATTGTGTATGTTAGGTTAAAATACATTTAAATATAATAAATACAATGAAAATGCATTTTAAAACACACAATCCCCTCCAAAAATCCTCCCCGGTAGTGTGTCCCTTATCCTTCCCCAAATGCCTACTGTCTGTTAACTGGAAGTTGTTTGACAGGAGTCTTTCTGCAGATAGAGACGCATGACCATGTGCTCTGCATCTGAGCTATGGCTCTTTCCCCACAACAATTCAACAAATGGGACACAGCCTCTCTTTCTTGTCCATCTCACCTCCTTGAGGCTGTCCTGTCCAGGGTGGTAAGGAGGTCCCCCGCCAGGTGCCAGCACCAGCTGGGGTGCCATATACTCCTGCTGGGCCCGCAACCGGTGTTGGTCAGCAGACGACTCCACTGTGTCCAAGAGGATGAGGTGTCGGCCTCGCACCACCAGCCCATTGAGGTAATCACCTGGCTCCAGTAGAGGCTCCCCCACACCCCGAGCATCATCATGCAGTAGCCGCCGATGTACCTGAAACCAACAGAATTTTGGATATTGGCTACAGGCCAGGCACATCAGCTTCTGCTACAGTAGTTCAGATATTAACAGTACCTATTGTTGTAAGGTTGACGTACCTCTTAAGAATATTGAGAAACTAATGATTCCTGGATGGGGAGAGAAAACTGTGCTTTTATGTTGTGCTTTGGTCTTGCCAGCTGTTAAATTCCCAGCCCATGGGTTTCTGGTAGTTTGGTTCTCCCTGCGTATCCCTAACATGTCTCCATCCACTTCTATTGACTGATTATAGTTTCTCAGACTTTCTGTTCTCCATATTGTACACAGTGACAGCTATAGGAAGCATGTTTTTGTTTTGTTTTGCCTAATTAATGTCCAGCTATGCTTACCATGAGTTCAAGGGAGCCATCAAAGATGCTGCTGCCTCCCTGTGAGCGGTCCGTCAGCACAGTCAGTTGGACCTTTTTATCCTAGAAAGATTAAAGAAGAACAACAACAATGGCAAAGCTACAAAAGATAGTCCTAGATCATGTCTTAGGGCTCTTGCAGAGCCACTCTCTCTTCCTGGTACTGTTCTTACCGCCATGGCACACCACAAAGCGCCCTTCCCTGCCATCTCTACACTGGAAGGAAACTGAGCCAATCCCAACAGCCTTCTCTATAATTAGGGCTCCTGGCCCTAGAGATAAGTCTGCAAGAACAACCCAATCAGACTCTTGTCAGATGATGTCTGTACCTTGATGAATATGCGACTGTTCACAGGGTAGTAGTTGCCAGCCACAGGCTCAGTCTGACTCAGGTTCCATGTGGCTCTGTAATTGCGCCTGTCATGCAAGTAGGGGAGAGAGCAAAGAGAACATATTAGACAATTGTCTTTACTTTACCCGGTAGGGCTTGGGAAGCTTTAGCCAGACGTTGTTAAGATATCTGAGAACACTGAAAGGGGCACTGCAGAATCCATTATTGAAGCAGGCGCCTCCAGGTGGAGGCTTGGGTGAACCACTGCACTCCAGCAGCTTCAGCCTGCTCCTACTGTTATAGTACCTTCTCTCTAGGATCTCGCGTCCATTGGAGTCTGTGTAGAAGAGCCCATCTGTCTGCAAGTTTGTCTCAAAACGGCTGATAATCTCCTTACCAAGGCCATCCCTGGGGCAGAACACAAACTGTCAAAAGCTGATCTCTAAAGGGAGTAGGAGAGCTTCCCCCACTTGGTTTCCAAAGCTCACCGGATTGGGATGGGACCCACCGTCCACTCTAGCTCGACATAGGGCTGCCCAGCATAGAGGCGCACCACCTGGGAGCACCAGTCGGAGAAGTTCTGGTATATCTCCTGTACCACTCCAGTCTACGAGACAGACACACAGAGAGAACACAGAGTTTTATCCTTGTCTGTAAAGAGCAAACAACCCTGCCTAGCTAATGAAATGGCACAAAATGCTATTTAAGTATGGAAACAAAAAGACCAAATTGGCTATCATTTTATTCCTGACTTGGGCTGTCAGTTATACCACTGAATTTAGCCAGAGAAAGTATGTTGTAGGAGGAAGTATCCAATACCTCCTTGTAGAAGGCATCTGGCCCTGCTCAACAGGAGGAGATGGGGAATTTGAGGGAGCAGCTTCCTCCCCAAGGCTACTGAAGGCAATGGAGCTGCACAGCTATCCTTGCACACATGGGAAACAAGGTGCAGCCTTATGCTTCAGGCAGAGCAGGCTCTTTCCCCTGGTGTACAAGTGCAGGCAGAAGGTACATGGGATCATGCCTACAGCTGAGTGCTGGCTGAAGGAGTGATGTTACCTGAGCCCTTTCAACTTCTATTTCACACTTAGGAGAAGTGGAGAAGCAGCAGCAACAACATCGTGCCTCCCTCACCCCTAAGCACACATACCATGATGGTGTAATTGCAAGGCAGAGAATAGTACTCTGCCAGGATGCTAACTAGATCCCAGTGACCATCTGTAGAAGTTGGTAAACAGGAGCTGTAAACAAAGTGCTTGACAGGAATTACTCAGCCATGTGAACCTTAGAGTAATGAAAGACTTTAAATACATGTCCAGAAGAAATCTTACTCTTAGGTGCCTCTAGCTTTGAGAATCCTGACAACAAGGCGCCTCTGGTTGCAGACGACAAAGGACAAATCCCCAAAGCAATGCAAAAATCTAAAGCCCATTCATGAAAAACAGGGCCCAGAGTCACAAAGGTTTAGATTCAGACCCTCAAACACTATTCCCTTGCACACCTGTGTAACTGGGCACACATCACTGCCATCAGCTTCACCTCTGCTATCTCCCTTCAAAAGCATTTTATATATATTTCATCAGGAGGCAACATAATCTTCCTGCCAAAATTACACAGAAAGACCAGGGAATGTTTTGATTGTAAAGTGCCATGTTTTTGTATACTGAATGTGAAACTTACAGACTGACGGACTTGAATGAAGCCCTGGTCCTTTTGATGGCTGACATCCAGGTTCTTGAGAACATTTGGGGAATAGGTCGGTTTCCTGGCCAGCCTGGTAGCCCTTACCCCAGATACTCCCCTCAGTCCTTGCATTACCCTCAGCAGACAGGACTTCCCCCTACCTTCACATGGTACAAGTGGGCTCCCTGAGCAATGAGGAAAGGCTCCGAGGTGTTGGGACGGAAGATGTAGGCTCCAGATGCCTGGCTGTTCTCTTGATTCCCAGAACTGGCATTGTACCTGGAAAAGTAAGTCAAAGCATAGAAATAGTAAAGATGCTAGAGTCTGCAATCACTAGCCAATAATCCAATCAAATCTGCAGAGCTAAATTATAATCCAAGCAATTCCACACCACAGAAGGATAAAAACAGAACTAGTCACTGTTAGAATTACTGAATAGAGAAAGAGGAGGATCATCACATGGTTCAAGCGCTGTCAAAACAAGACTCAATCCCAGATGACTGTGGTTCAGGAGCACATTTTGACCACATCTGGGTAAGAGACTTGCAACATTCAGGTTTTCTTTCCTTTTCTTCTTCTTTGTTTATAATTTATTTTTTAATTAAAATTTACAAACGTGATAGATACACACAGTACACATAACACACATGACACCTACTCTACAACATATAAGACATCCCTCTTGCCCACATCCTACACAAAATCAGCCCTTGCTCTACAAACCCATGAACCCGGCACCTTGATTACAATCCCTATTATTGTGGTGCCTATAACACTACTTATTTACCTTTCTATTGTGTTTGCCAATAAATTCCTCTTGGGACTGTTTAACATTCACTTTGACTCTCCTTCCAGATACGCCACTACACATTTCCATCTTTTAATGAACTTTTCATTGTTTTTGCCTGCCAAGTTATTGGATATCTTGGCCATTTGCATAGAATCATAGAATTGGAAGAGACCTCGTGGGCCATCCAGTCCAACCCCCTGCCAAGAAGCAGGAAAATCGCATTCAAAGCACCCCTGACAGATGGCCATCCAGCCTCTGCTTAAAAGCCTCCAAAGAAGGAGCCTCCACTACAGTCCGGAAAAAAAAAATTTATTAGATTCCCCCCCCCCCCCCAAAGATTCCATGTAATCCATTAGCTTATATCTCCAATTCTTTTTAAGGTAAAGTGTTCCCCTGACATTAAGTCTAGTCGTGTCTGACTCTGGGGGGTGGTGTTCATCTCCATTTCTAAGCCAAAGAACTGGCATTGTCTGTAGATGCCTCCAAGGACATGTGGCTGGCATGGTGCGCCATTACCTTCCTGCAGAAGCAGTACCTATTTATGTGCTCACATTTGCATGTTTTCGAACTGCTAGGTTGGCAGAAGCTGGGCCTTGTAGCAGGAGTTCACCTCGCTCCCCAGATTCAAACTGCCAACCTTTCAGCCAGCAAGTTCAGCAGCTCAGCAGTTTAACCCGCTGTGCCACCAGGGGGCCCCTAACTAAATCCTTTTTAGCTAACACATTTTCTCCTTTTCAATTCCTAGAAATTATCGTTCTTGATGCCACAAAACTGCATTGGGCTATTTCTTTATGATCCCAGTTGAAACCTTTGCTGAATAAGCCCTGCAGACACATCTCTGAATTTTTAAAAAAAATATTGCACAACATTTTATTTGTTTCCTTAATTACGTTGCTCCAAAATCCTTGAACATTCTCACATGACCACCACAAACGACAGAAGGTTCCTCTCTGAATTTACATCTCCAGCACCTGTCTTGTTGAGATTTATCTATTTTTGCGAGTACAACTGGTGTTGTATAACTCCTATAAAACATTTTGTACGCTGCTTTGAGTTCCATTTGTGGGATAAAAGCAGGAGAAAAGTAAATAATAATAATAATAATAATAATAATAATAATAATAATAATAATAATAATTGTATACATTTTCCCCAATTGACCCTGCTATTGTAAATTTCAATTTTTTCTTCCAGAGTAGTTTCCAGATTTCTAGATCTATAACTCTCCCTAGGTCTCTAGTTCAAATGATTACTGTTTGTTTTATTCTATTGTCTTCTAGGTTATTGCCTAATAAATATTTGTATAGTCTGGACATTAATCCTTTGCTCCCCTTTTCAGTATACTTTCTAATTCTGAATTTCTTATTGCAAAGCCAACTCCTGCATCATTTTCAAATCTTGCATGCAGTTTATGATAATAGCACCAATAATTAATGCTTAAGTCCCCCTCTCTCTCTAAGTTTCCATTTGCTGCACTTTGTGAGCCACCTTGAGTCCCTTCGAGGAGATAGTGGCGGTGTAGAAATAAAATTTATTATTATATTATTATGTTTGACTCACCAGAAGAAGTTTTGGGACAGTGGCAAAGAGATATTCTTGTCCAGGTTCTCTATCTCTTTCAGGAGTCCTGTTCTGGAATCAAACACAACCCGTAGATGCTGGGAAAGGAGGAAGATGAGAGGAGGAAGAGGAAAAAGGAGACACATGTGGGTGATCTGGTCAGGAAACACTTCTTGGATTTTTAGTTTGCATGAGAAAGGAAACCTAATCCAAAAAACCCAAAACCACAAATTGATATGCTATTTTTGAATGTAAGGAAGTACTAGATCATCTCTTTCCATTTAATATGTAAACAAGTGATTCATGGCCAAGTGATTATTTTTAGGTACTTATTTTAAATGCCACCACTGTGGGTGATCTCCCAAAGCAACATGTTCTGTTCCAAAACTAGTACTACAATCCAAATCTCTATCTGTACACGTTAAATTCCAGCCCATGGAGGAGACACAGCCCGTTTCCCCTCCCTGAACCACCCTCAGACCCAAGCAAGAAAGAGAAGTTAAGGCCTAACAGGAAGATTTGGTGGGCTGCATCTGGGGAGGAGTGAGTACCCCAGGCATGGCAATTTACCTTCCACCTAACAAGGCAACTAAGCTTTGAAAGTGCCTCCCACTCAATACACAGGGAAGCTTTCCAAAAGTCTAACTCCAGCATGGGTGGGCAGGTAGGGGTTTTGCTCACACCTGGAGAGGAAACCCTGCCCAGGAACAGGCTGTGACCCAGTACCAAAATAAAGTCCTCCCGCAGCAGCTTAGCTCACAAAAAGAACTCTCACTGGTTCCTGCAGGAAGCTTTTTAAAAAGCTAATTACTCTGGGGGGAAGGAGAGGTGTTCAAAGAAGAGTGCGTATATGTGCTATCCTAAGCAAGTGTTCCTACTAAAACATGGGCCACTTCACTATTAATAGGGTTCCAAAAATTGAGGTGTACCTGATGTTTCTGGACAAACCCCAATCACCCTGCACCCGCTAATGGTACATAGTGGGGAATAATGGGATTAATGGTAGATAGTGAGGAATAATGGGATTAATGGTAGATGGTGGGGAATAATGGGATTTGGTAGCATATGGAGGGCGATACGATTTCCAGTTCTGTCTTTGAACTGGAAAGAAAAAGGAGCCTTTTGGGAGCCTGAAAGGGGCCATATCAGCCTCACTCCTGGACTCCCCTATGTCCCATTGCTGAGAAAGAAGTACAGAACTAGTCATGATGACCACAAGGTAAGATTTTGAACCATAGGCTTAGTTGCTTCCCTTTTACCTGGTTCTCAATGGCCCAAGAAAGGTGCTCTGTTCCAGGGTGATCGTGTAGCCGCTTCAGCGTTCTGGCGCGTGCTGAGCCCCGGCCAGGCAGCCTGGAGACGGAATAGGTGCGGTAGCCCAGCGGTGGGGCAGAGGCTTGGAACACCAGCTCATTGACAGCATCACCCCGATCCCGTCTCACGGCCCGGGTGAAGCTTGACACAGGGATCACCTGGGAAAGGCAAAGTGAGTCAGTAGAGTCTCCTACTCCACTCTGGAGGATGCTCAGAAGAGGGCATTATTCCCTGAGAACCCAAGAAAATTCAGTAGGCACCAGGTAACCCACACTCAGGCACAGGAAGGTCCAGCCCTGTCAAAGATATTCTGGGCACCTTCTCTATATTTCTATGGAGCCCCCAGTGGCGCAGCAGGTTAAACCACAGAGCTGCTGAACTTGCTGATTGAAAGCTTGGCAGTTCAAATCTGGGGAGAAGGGTGAGCTCCTGCTGTTAGCCCCAGCTTCTGCCAACCTAGCAGTTCAAAAACATGCAAATGTGAGTAGATCAATAGTTCTGCTCTGGTGAGAAGGTAATAGCGTTCCATGAAGTCATGCTGGCCACATGACCTAGGAGGTGTCTATGGACAACACCGGCTCTTCAGATTAGAAACGGAGATGAGCACGACCCCCAGAGTCAGACACGAATAGACTTAATGTCAATACGAAACTTTTACCTTTACCCTCTCTGTATTTCTACATTTTGTATAGGAAGAGTAAGGAAAGTGCAGACTCTAGTACAGGGGTACCCAACCTTTAGGCTTTCCTGAGCCAAACTGGAAGAATTGTCTCGGACCATAAAATACATTAGCAATAGCTGATGAGCAAAAGGAAAAAAAAAGGGAGGGAAAGGTCCCTTTGTAATTTTTGAGATATCTGCCAGCACAGATAAGCTACAGAATCCTGATTATGTATTACCATGTTTGGAGGGTCTTTTAAAATGAGTGTATATGTTTTTTATGGCTGGAAACTGGGCTGAGTCCCTTAATGAGGTTGAGAAGCTCGGTATAGAAAACTGTGAAATAAACAAATAAATAAATAAGACCCTCCAAACATGGTAATACATAATCAGGATTCTGTAGCTTATCTGGGCTGGCAGATATCTCAAAAATTACAAAGGGACCTTTCCCTCCCTTTTTTTCCCCTTTTGCTCATCAGCTATTTATTTAAATAAATAAAATTGTTCAGCAGGTCTTCTGGCAGAACTGTTTGCATTTATGACACAAATATGGATAATACTCCAATATTTGTGGATGTACTCTGATTATTCTATTCTATTCCAGTGTCATGTCCAAAGTACATGCTTGAGAATTGCACAAACAAATTATTTCAAAAATCACAAAACCCCTTATACTTGTAAATAAGTTTATGATTTTGTGTTGGACTATATTTATAGCCATCCTTCCATAGAGTCTGGCATATAAGAATGAATAATGTTCCCAGTACAAAGTCAGTGAGATGACTGAAATTTAAGTGTTTTAAATTTGTACTTGTCAATCAAATTTAATAAAAATATCTACCCTCTGTTAGTTTTCAAATAACAACCACCACCACTACCTGTCTCTCCTCACAGCACGTGGAGTGTCCTGTCAAAGTACTGCCCTTTATTGCCCTGCCAGAACCCTGCAGGCCCCTAGCACCTCTTCTTACTCTTGTTTTCCATCTTTGCCTGAGTGTAGTTACCTGGTGCCCATTTTACCTCTGCTTGTTTAGTTAAAGTTTCCCAAGTGACAGGGTTGCCTTCCTCTTCTTGGTGCCCTCAAGATATTTTTGACTGAGATTTCCAACATGTCTGATCAAGACTGGTCACAGTGGCTGTGACCAGCAGTCATTCTCACCTGAAGTTTGCAAAAGCTGCATTTAAGGGTAACAGAGGATGCCTCCTTCCTACCTCACTTGGGACAGTCTGTCCATCAGGAGCCAAAATTGCGTAATGGCTTCCATTGACTGGCAGTCGGATGTTCCAGTCCACAGGACGTGCCAATGGGTTGTAGACAATCACCATGAACTGTGAGGCAAAAAAGAAGCATTTAAGCAAAGTCATGACTGAGTATGCCGGGGAGGCCAGCTATCTGAGCTAACAGGTGAAGACCCAAACCCCAGAAGGTGAAGGCTTAGGCAATAACATCATCCCTTACAGTCGGGGCAGCTTCAGTCAGTTGGCAGACGCTGATGTTGAGTTGGTTGCAATAGATGAAGTTCTCTTTGGTGCCCACAATACTGGCAAGGGCATTGCTCATCACAATCTGCAAAGTCAGAGAAAAAGTATAACACTGTAAGTTTCCCACTCCTGCCACAAAATTGCTCAGCACTTCAGAAGCATGTCTAGAGAAACTTCAGGAAAGCTACGGAAACCCCACATTCAAAGCAGAGTTATGATGGAAGACAGAGGCAAAAGTTAACTTGCTTTGCCACCTGTAATAGGTAAAGTTGGGCTCCCTGATGGCGTAGTGGGTGAAACTGAGGAGCTGCTGAACTTGCTGACCAAAAGGTTGGCAGTTTGACTCTAGGGAGCAGGGTGAGCTCTCGCTGTTAGGCTAGGTTCTGCCAACCTAGCAGTTCGAAAACATGCAAGTGTGAGAAAAACAACAGGTACCATTCTGCACTCCATGCAGAAATGCTGGCCACATGACCTTGGAGGTGTCTACAGACAACGCCGGCTCTTTGGCTTAGAAATGGAGATGAGCATCACTCCTGAGTCAGACTCGACTAGACTAAATGTCAGAGGAAATCTTAAGCTTTTTAATAGGTAAAGTCCGACTATAAAAATACAACCATGTGATCTCTGTAATGAGCAGTTTAAGGAATTAAATAATATTATCCTCTGGGAACCAGTGCTAACCAATTCTATATCACTCCAAGACTAAGGAATGCCATATTCCTGAGTTAAGCCTCCAAAAATATTCTTAGGAGAAGGTTGGAGCAATGAGGAAGGAGAAGGAAGTGCTTGATGTCCTCCTTTTCACTCACTGATGTTCGCGTATAAATGAATTGTGTTTCTCAAGAAAGTAAGTCAGGAGGGAAAGAGGAAATAAAAGTACTTTGATGATCACTCCACTGGATCAGATACTTACCTGACAGGCATCCCACCCAGAAGACAACTGTTTGGCATAGTCATTGGTCACATGCTGCTTTGCTGTGCCACTCACTGCATCATGGTGCTGAGCAACTCCCATGGCCTGACCTGAAGCAACATTACAGAGAGGTCAAACAATATAGGGATTGGACGCTCAGGAGCTACTCGACACAGACAGGGGTCAGTCAGAGTCTGCTGCACCCCTAAAGCAGATGTGGCCCCCCAAACCCCTTTTCATTCTACCCCCTAGTAGGATCACACTGTCCACCAGACCCAGATGAAACCATCCATTTCCCAGTCTATTAAGTATAAAACATTCTGGATACATACGCAGCACTGAACTGTTGGCATTGCCATAAGGCCCCATGTTTCCTTGTATGCCAGTTAGCGCTTCCAGCTGGTTGCAGACCTGCAGAAAGAGGCAACAAAATCAAGCAAGATGCTTCTTTGGGCCCTTCCATACAGCTGAATAAAACCCCATACTTTCTGCTTTGAACGGGAATATATGGCAGTGTGGGCTCAGATAACTCAGATCAAAGCAGATATTGTGAGACTTTCTGCCTTGATATTTTGGGCTATATGGCTGTGTGGAAGGGCCCTTTGTGAGAAAGGCCTGAACTCAAGGATACCATGATTACAAAGACAGGTTCAGAGCTAAGGAGTCTTAAGCCTCTGCCTGATTATTTTTAAAGTCAACACTAACCTGCAGAAAGTTGTTGCTGAGCCGCTCATAACGTTTTAGTGCTGGCCGGCTGGTGAAGTAGCCAGTCCAAAACTGGTGGGGGCCGTCGGCATATGGAAAGAAGTCATCATATTTCAGAGTCCTGTCCAATACAGGAGTTGGTCAGCCCAAAGGTACATCTGCATATAGCACCTCTTTCACACACACTCTCTATTTCTCAACTCCTGTGCTGGTGAGCAGGAAAAGCAAGTGGCTGTCGTGGTATGGAATGCTAACCATGACAGCCGGGTGAATGAGGATCCAATCCATCACTGTCACAGACTATGATTCTCAACCTCCACTTCCTTCATATAAGGTGAAGCACCTAAACTTTACAGGAACACTGGTTGGAAAAAATAAATCACCCAGTCTCTCTTAAATGTCATTTTGGAGACTTTGTGTCACTTCTTTGTGCACTGGCATTAACAAAAGGAGGGGGTGCTCACTTCCCTGATTCTTATCACAAGTCAGCTGGAAGTCCCTAGGTACTGATCCCTCCCACAGTTGTCTATTCCTGTTCTCTGTAGCATTGCTAGAGGCTGGGACAGGTAGCCAGTGGGAGAACAGTCTCCATATGCAGCTGGCTTTTGCACCTGGACACCATAGGGTAAAAGGCTTCAACATCCTCACACCTACTGTTATAAATAAAAGACATCAAAACCAACCAACAAATAAATAAATAAATGACATTGAGATGAAAAACTTTGAAAGATCAGCTGCCAAATATACAGCAGCATTCTTGACTTCATAGGAGTATTTGTCCAAAGTTAAATAAGAAGTGGCTATCTGAGAGACCGATCAAGAGGATCTCACAGCTTAACTGACTCTAACCGCAAGTATTATCAGTCCAGTGCGCTGAAGACACCCAGCACTGAGACTGAAATTTTACAATGTAGTTCTGGCCTGGTCTTGCCTCTTCCATTGCTAGTGGCAAGGAAGATGGGATTCTTCACATGTCCAATATGGCATTTCTGTTCTCTGTGGAGTGGGATGGATGAGCACAGGGGCCAGAAAAGGACTGGCTGGCCAATGTGAGGCATGCCAACTTAGCAGAAGCAAAAAAGAACTAATGGGGTTTGGGCCTAAAGCCAATCTCCAGGAATCACAGGAGAAAATTCTCATCCTGCCACTGGTTGTGTAAAAGGAGATTTTGCTCTGACACCTACTTGCTGTGGCTTATCAAACACTCAGTTCACACTGTGTTCATACACCTGTCCTCTCACCATGACATATTGGCCTTGTTCAACTCCCACAAGTAGCAGCTTGGAGTAGAGTAGAGAACATTGACTCGTATCCCACTGTCTTGCTGGAGAGGAAAACAAGGATATTAAGAGGTAAACACACTTTAAGGAAAGAAAAGCTGCAGAGACTATATTGATTGAACTCTGGTAAGGTGACAAGAGCAGACACAGTGTTCAAAATACTTTTGTTTCCTAACAATCCTCCTTGGCCCTTTATTTACAGGCCTGGCCTCTCCTCTACCTCCCCCTGACCCCCTGGGCAAATGCCATATTTTTTGAGTGTACCAAAGGTACAAGCTCAAATATCAACTATCCTTCCATGTACTAAATAGAGTTCACAGAAAGGCACTTTCCCAGCTCCTTTGCAGTCTTCTAGAGGTCTGAAGCTGGTGGCTGGGAATTGTATGTTAAATTGAAGATATGAGTTGGGAGAAATTGCTCCAAGTTACACGAATGGCAGTGCAATTGAGGAGGGCACATAACTGAGCCTGTATGAACATGCCTGTTTGTGCTGAGGCTTTGAATGTGCCTATGGGCGAAAGAGAAAACAGGCTGGCCTCCCAAACCCTTGCCAATCAACCTTTTTCAATAAAAGGTTGACAAAGCACTTAAAATAAAGTCTGCCAGTTCTTGTATGTGTTGGAAACCCAAAGGCCTTTGGAAAAATGTTCATGGAAGAGAGCTCCAGCCATCATCATCATCATAGTCATCATTATTATTATGACATTTATTTATATCCCGCTTTTTCTCTCCATAAGGAGACTCAAAGAGGCTAACATTAAAAGCAGTACAATACAATGTAAAACATACTAATATACAAATATTAAAACAGTATTAAAGATCATTAGTATTAAAAACAATTTAGATGAAATCTATAAAACATATAAAACCACAGCAGCCCCTGACTTGATCGTAAAAGACTTTATTAAAACTCTGCCTGAATAAAAAGGTTTTAGCCTGCCACCGGAAGGACAGCAGGGAGTGAGCCATTCTGGCTTTCCTGAGTGGGGAGTTTCAGAGTCGAGGGGCAGACACTGAAAGAAAAGGCCCTCCCTCTCATTCCCATCAACAGAGCTTGAGATGGAGTTGGAACCAAGAGAAGGGCCTACCACCCCTTGCGTTGCCTTGGCCAAACACCTAGCTAATTCACCAGTGAAGAGACTCTCCCCTCCAAGGTGAAAGGGTTAGTTGGATATGGCTTGAGCTTATAACCCAGAGGTACCTTTGCATTGACGTGCTTGATCAACTTGTCCAAGTTCTTGTACCACATGAGGGCATTCTCATACTGGAAATCAGATCCCATGGTCATGACAATGTGGTTGGTACGATAGTAGTTGGCCTAAAGATGACAAGGCTGAGAATTGGTAAATACATTCTGTTTACTACTGGGGCAACCACCCCATTACCCAAGAATTGTCTTATTTGTTTAGAAAAATAATGCTTAACATTCAAAAAGCCTCACATGTATTCTCCAATGTTATCCTTCTAACAATTCAGTAAGGACTGGACAATCTGTGCACCCTCCAGCTGAACTGCAATGCCCATGAGCCCTGGGCAGTATAGCTAATGCTGAGCAATGATGGGAGCTGCCTTCAATATATGAAGGGATACACATTTATTTATTTATCATACTTATACCCCACCCTTCACACCCCCGAAAGGGGACTCAGGGTGGCTTGCAATATTACCCATCTCTGCTGTAAATTAAGTCAGGATTGTTTTCTACACTGTAGAAGATGGAAAGCAAAGACAGCATAGCCCTGAAGACTATGACCAATGACCAGTGTGTAAGTGGGTTGGAGAATCAGATGGTAAACTTCTCAATTCTTCTTTTATTCTCTCAGCCAGCTAGCATCTACTAGTGATGCACCATTTCCAAAGTGATCCACAAGCTGCCCGAGACCTTTGCTTTTCCAAGTTCTATTCAATAATTGAATCCCAATTTAGGTCAGGACCAAGAGCCCTGTTTGCCAGCCCCAGCCCTCTTGCTCAAACCTGAGCAGCTGCAGTCCCCAGAAAATATGCCACCAGACTCTCGACGTTGTTCTCTTCACTGTCGTCATCCACAATCGGGTTGTCAGAGCAGATCTGATCCCAGCAGAGAGACATGGGGGGGTTGTAACCATTTGGTAGGACACCTACCAAGAGACAGTCAGGAGAAACGGGAAGGGCAGTACACTACTGAGCAAACATCCATGTAAGCCACGTCACCCCAGGTGTTAAAGACAGGTGATAAAGACAGCTAAATCAGAGCAGATTCTCATCAGCGCTCCAGGCAAAGGGAATGGAAAAGGGAGAGATCACATCCCCAAGCAGAAGAAGAATGTGCACAATTATGAGAGAGGGCTTAGGCCAGTGGTTCTCAACCTGTGGGTCCCCAGATATTTTGGCCTTCAAATCCCAGAAATCCTAACAGTTGGTAAACTGGCTGAGGTTTCTGGAAGTTGTAGACCAAAACACCTGGTGACCCACAGTTTGAGAACCACTGGCTTAGGCAGTTAAAGGGAGCATCCCAGACAAGGCTGGGCCATTAAAGCCTTCCAGATACTGTTGGGCTGGAATTTCCATGCTCCTTCATCATTAGCTGGGGCTGATGGAAGCTATAGCCCAACAGCAGCTGGAAAGACACATATAGCTCAATCTTATCCTATGTATACATGTACTCCATATATGCCCCCTACCATCTACATTGTGGCACAAAAGTCAGGTTGAGTTTCCTTATTCAAAATGCTTGGGACCAGATGTTTTTCAGATCTTTGGAATACCTGTATTTGCTTGCATATAGTGAATGGTGAGTGTGTGTGTGGGGGGGGGGGGGGGGGGGGGGTTAGTCACATTTTAGTACCCACCAAGCCCCCCATTTGAGGAACCCCCCACTCCACCACTGGAAAAGAGAAGAGGAGGAAAGGTGGAGGACCCGCTTGCTCACCAGTGAAAAGATCTGCAACTGGGGGAACCAGGCTTCCACTTGCACGCCACAGTTGCTCCATCTCCCGCCAGGCCTCCCGTTGGCCCTTGTCCTGGTAGTCAATGCGGCCCACAAAGAAGCCATCGTAGCCCATCTTGAGAGAATAATGAGAGAGGGAGGATGAGTGCTCAGGAAATGGAGGAAAGGAGGCGAACAAAAAATGCAGGACATCAACCATAAAGTCAAACAGATATCTTCCAGATAACTGTGCCAGGCTAGTTGAACAGGCAGGGTGTTGGCTGGGAGATGTTTGGCAGTTTCCTTCTAGAAACAATATGAGGTTGTGCAAGCTAAATATCCAGGAAATACAGGCTAACCTGTGCAAACAATGAGGCCTGCTCACGACTGTGCCCAAAAGGGTCAATGTGCCAGGCCACCCGAGGCCGGCCACACTCGCCAAACGTCTCTTGCAGGAAACGGAGACCCAGGCTCATTTGATCAATGACGGCACTGTAGTGGACAGAAGCCTCATCATTCATGCACCAACCGCCATTCACAAACTCCAGCCGCCCTGCCAAAGCAAGAAAGCAAAGAAAAAGGACATTAAGCCAGCATAGAATTCAGAATATTTCTCTACTGCTTCTCTGAATTAGCTCAGAAGTTATATCTACCCTCCAACTTCTCTGAAAAAATAAGCAGGACTTTGCTGGAAAGATGTGCACAGGAAGGGGTTGTGCTACTTTGCACCAGAACTGCAGAGAGCCCCAGATGGTGTTGGACTCCAGCTGCCATCATCTTAAACTATCAGAACAAATGGTCAGGACTGTTGGGCTTCCTACCACCACACTAACATAATATTGCATGATTAGAAGACCTTATTTGCATGAGGACAACTCTGAGCACGGCAAACCATTTATTTCCTGTTTCTATCTATTCACAAAAATAAAAGGAAGTATGACAAAACTCCTGCCATGTTGACAAGCAAGACTGCCAAGTCACAACCCAGAAAACTGCCCTGCTTCTTTAACTATCCCCTTGTACCAAGGAGGATCTGTTCATGGCTTCTCTCCCTCCGCTCCTCTTAACTATGTTTCACACAGATTCTTGTCCTCTGTCTGGCAGGGGAAAAGGGTCATTTATTTTGCCTCTGAAGGTGAGAGGCCCCCAGTGGTGCAGTGGGTTAAACCGCTGAACTTGCTGGTGGTTTGAATCTGGGGTGAGCTCCTGCTGTTAGTCCCAGATTCTGCGAACATAGCAGTTCGAAAACATGCAAATGTGAGTAGATCAATAGCAACCCATTCTGTGGGAAGGTAAAGGCACTTCATGCAGTCATGCCGGCCACATAACCTTGGAGGCATCTACAGACAACGCCGGTTATTTGGCTTAGAAATGGAGATGAGTACCACCCTCCAGAGTCGGACATGATTAGACTTAATGTTAAGGGGAAACCTTCACTAGGCGAGAGAGGAAGCAAGCTCTCTTCAAAGATATCTGAGTGCACCCAGTGGTCCTTCATGCTGCTACAGCAGAAAGTCTACTGAGCCATGTTTGTTGATTGAGGACCATTGACTCCACCTGGCCTCTCACTCAGGGTAGTGTCTCAAACCTGAGAGTAAACTGGGTCCAGAATGTTCTCACCCATCCATCCATCCATCCATCCACACACACACACACATGTATGTTATGCATCGGATAGAGAGATCAGATGCTGCACAAAGAAGTAGCAATACTATCCCCAACAGCTTACCTTCAGCAACAAGTTGCTTCACAGCCTGGCGCATGCTCTCAGTCTGCAGCGCCCACCAGCGAGCAAAGAACACCACTTCCACATAGATGAAGCGCTTGCTGGGATCAGCCAGTAACTGTGGTATGACAGAGTCAAGGATGTACTGGACCCCAGCGTGCTGGATGTCATTGCGGACTGCAAAACAACAAAGGAGCCAGTATATGACATAAGTTAACTTGCTGGAGTATAACTTAGGCAATCCAAATTCTAGTTCCCACTGAAACAGAAACTGCAGTCAGTGGCCTTGGGACAGACATTATCTTGCAGTCCAGTCTAGCCTAGCCAACTGGGAAGTGGTAAAGTTGGTGGGTGAAAGAACACTATGTGCACCCACAGGAGGAAAGACTGGATAGAAATGTAGCAAAAAATGAGCAAGGATTTGAAAGAAGCAGAGGAGGAACATGCAAGACAGAGACAGACCAGATACTTTAGGAACCTACTTCTCCACCCCCCAAAACAAACAAACCAAGAAACATCACCTCCAATCATTGGATAGAAGAGAGATAATCAGCAGCACCTAGACTGAAAAAGCTTAAGCCAGTTGTTAAGTCCCAAGTAGAACAGACCCACTGAATCAATGCAAAGCACCAAGGTATTGACTTACTTTTTTTTTTTTTGGTGATTCAACAGTCTAGTTGACTTTAACCCAACGACCACATCATATTCTACCCTCTGCAGCCATAAAGAGTACAACCTGTGGCGGGGGCTTCTATACCAGGGACACTGTTTCCAAAGATTTCCATTTCCATTTCTGTTCTGGCCTTGGAAGGCATCAAGGAAAGGCCACAAACGCAAGTACGGCCTCCAGAAACAGGATGCTGCTCTTAGGTGTATCAGCAGAAGGACAAAGTTTATCTACCAGCAGATTCTATTCAGGGACAAGGCCAAACAGCACGCCAGCTTTGTTCTAAAGTAGGAAGCTGGAAAACGTCTAGGCATGAATACAATTCATACCCAACAGGTTCCATACTGAGTTATGCTGAGCTGTAATCCAGCATAACATTGGCTAAAAAATCACCACTGTATAGTCAGGGGCTAAAAAAATAATTTTTCAATTTCAACCCTATTTGTAATGTGAACTGAAAAGTTTCAAAAACTGCTATTGTAAGCCAAGATGACAATAATGAGGCCACCTGATGTTCTTGGCCTCCAGTTCTCGGTTTTCGTCACTACAGGCTAGTGTTTTTGGAAAATGAGCTTCATTTTGTCTGTCCTTGTAGTAAGCCCTAGTGTGCTTTGTGGAAAAGTGCGATACAAAACACTGGTTACAATTATTCTTTGTTGGAAACAAGATGACACACTTTGCTCATCTGGAATCGAATTCCCTTAAAAAGCAGATACCTGTTACTGAAGAAGATTTTGGCAACTGATTGGTAACAACGGAAGGTGCTTTTAACAAATGCTGTTAAAATATGCTTCAACAGCCACATAAAATCTATATATTTACTATTATAACTCAATTGTGTTTAATTACTAACATTTAATATTTTTATCTGTAGCTTTCTGGTTAGTCCTGTTGTGAACCATCACAAATCCCAGTTTTGAGAGCAAGGAAGAATATAAATAAACCATCAGTCTGTCAAAAGGCTAGGAAGCATAACCTTCTTAACTTACAACCTCTGTTTCAAACAAGGAAGGGAAACTGCATGTGCTTCTGGTCTGTGCAGAGCCAAAGTTCAAGTAGCATCAGCATCTGTGACTCCAACACCAAATGCCAAGAGCCAGCAAGAAGGGGCTGGCGCTAACCAACAGGATAAAATGGACCCTTTCCACTCCGTTGTCTTGTCTTAAAGCTCTTTCAACTTACCTCCAAAGAAATATTGGTCCACTGTCTTCAGCCAGCCCACGTCATCATGCGTGTGAGGGATCAGGTGAACATTGAGCATGTCCGGTTTTGTCACTGGGCAAGACTAAAAGGCAAGAGAAACAAATAGTCTCAAAACAGAGAAGAACAGAGAGGCAGGAGTTATCTAGACAGGGAAGTTTGGTGAGAAGTGTTAAGAGGAAGAAAGGTCATTAATTGTTCCTTATTACAGTATGTGGAATGGTTACTTATTTACTTCAGGGCTATGAATACTATAGCTAACTAAGAAGTATGGGATTTTTGTAAGTTGTAGGCTATGCATTTTACTGAAATACAAGCGTCTTGCTCACATAGCTGGGATCCAAAGCTCCTTGCTGCTCGCAGGAAGCACAATTCAAGAGATTGCAGAAGATCAAGGAATGAAAGCTGCCGTGCTAGGTTTACAAGGAAGCTAACAATATCTTTTAAAGCAACTTGGGATAAGGGATTACAAATTATTAAAAATCACAGAGTAAAATTCAGGCCTAAAGCAGAGACAAAGTAAAGATACAGAACCCATGAAAAAGTATATGGTGGGAAAACAGTTTTTTTCCAGGTGCCCCAACTGCAACAGTCTGAATGTCTACAGCCAGGGCAGTACTGTTTAAAAGGGGTTTTCTGAGCACAGAATTCAAGGAAGGCTTTAAGGCAACTTTCCTTAACATTTTCAGATTTGTTTAAATGCACATCCCATAATCTTCAACCTCTTGGAGGAGAGCAGTTGAGGAACGCTATCTTAGGGAATGAACAGATTCATTTGGGGATGGAAGTCCTTCAGACTGCCAATATTTTGGGTCAGGATAAGAAGTGTGAACAACTCCTGAAGGCAGAGACAAGGGAAGGGATTTGGTTATGAGCTGTAAGCACAGGGCTTCTCTACATGTCTCGTTATTATTAATGCAATAACTGATACACAAGTTTCCTGTACCTAGACTGGATGAACTAAAATGGCACTTTACCATGAATCTGTAAACAGAACCCATTACATGGGACTGTGTAAAGTGGTAGTAATCCCCATAGAGCTGTGAGGCTTGATTATGAGTAAAGATACTTAGGGTTGGGTGGCTTCTCAGCAGAACATAGAGGGAGCTGAGTTGGTTCTTTCCTCTCTGGCATTTCTTTGCAGAAGAGTAACCCGAGTGGAGCAAGTGGATGATCTAGATATACAGAAAGTATATCATAGCCTAATGCTAAGACCATGGTGAAGTTACTTTCAGCACACATTAGATACAAAGTGTGACTGAACTTTTGGAAGACTTCTCAATGGCTCACACAGCACAGCTTTCCATAAGCTGCTTTCTTTTGGATGCTCTATAATACAGCCAGAATCCCGCAGTCAGTCTTAAATAGAGTAGATCTCTTGAATCAATGGAACTTGCATAGCTGTCAACGCCATATTGATACAGCAGGTCTATTCTAGTTAGAACTAACTATAGGCTTTAATTCTGTAACTTTACATTCCTCAGTCAGCATATGCAACACACTCAGAAGACAGCAGATATGGAAAGTCCCTTCTTCAGAGTTTGAGCTTCCTCACATGTGAAACCAAAAGGTCCCTTGTAACAACTTCTCTTATTTTATCTATCAAGAAGCTCATAGTGAACTACAGAAAGAACAGACCAGAAATTCAGTCCTTGGTTTTGTTTTGTTTTTTTTTAAAAAATTCGTGTCAGGAACAACTTGAAAAAATGCAAGCCTTTTCTGGTGTGAGAGAATTGGGCGCCTATAAGGCCGTTGCCCAGGGGATGCCCAGATGTTTTACCAACCTGTGGGAGGCTTATCTCATGTCTTTGCATGAGAAGCTGGAACTGACAGACGGGAGCTCACCCCCCTCCCTGGATTTGACCCGTAGACCTTTTGGTCAACAGTCCTGCCAACACTGGGGGCTCCTAGGCCTTAGTCATAAATGGTGACCAAGTGGAGTGGGTGACTAGTTTTAAGTACCTGGGTGGAACTTAAAACTAGGAGGATCTGATCTGGGGCATCCATATAGCAGCATTGGTTAAGAGAGCCCAGCAGACACTGTACTATCCAAGACTTCTAAGGAACCAATAACTGAATGAAAAACTGCTACATTATGTTGGTTAGGGGATTCTGGAAGTTTCGACTGCAAAACAAGCAATGGCTGCAAACTCTCACCAGGGTGGGGATGTCTAGGGTTGCAGAGTCCTTCAACTGGGAAGCCTAACAAACAGAGACCAGATGTCTGCGATGTGTAATCATTAGAGGGGAAACAAACAATGTGTCGACCTTTAGCTAATCCACTTCGGGATGGGGGATGTCAAGGATACCACATCAGGAAACAAGATAGGCAGGAGGCAGATTAGAGACGAAGGGCTCAGCTGACATCTGAGAGCAGACACTGACTCAGCCTCCCTGGCCCTGCTTTTGTCTTTCAATCAACCCACGCTCTCAAGCCTTTGATATCGCTGCACACATAATAGGATTGCCTCCCAATGCTGCCTCCAGAAGGGAGGTTCTGATAGGAAAAACTTGGGGTGGGATCTGGCAGATTCCTTCCAAACAGCCCCAAGGACAGAGCAGAAATCCAAAGGGAGGCATTTAGTCTTGCAGCAATCAATGTTGTTGACAGTGAATAATGTTAATAAAGATGTTCTGGACAGTAACTGGCACCATCCCTGTTCTGTGGCCATGACGATAACAAGAGCAGTGGGCCAAAACATCTGGGCAGCCCATCCCTCGAGTAACTCAATGAAACTAATGCTAAGGGTAAGGGGCTGCGGGCTATTCTGATCACACTCCGCTTGTCACTTCATGCATGGCATCCAGCTGGACTTTGATCTGATCCAGATAGAGTTTCTATGCTGCTGGCCCTGAGTCCTGCTCCAAAATGAAAGCCTGAACTGCGCAGATGTGTCCCAGTGCAAGGAGCTTCCCTTTCTTTGCAGAGAAGTATCTTCCCACAAGTTCCTTCCTGGTCTCTTGGAGGAGAAACCTCCTTACCATAATTATACAACGCCTCGACCTGCCTCACCTCAAGGTCGTTATCTCTCCCTGCCAAGGAGTGCTAGTGGCTCCACACACAACAACCCCCAGGATGCCATAGTACTCAAACCATGGCAGTTCAAGTGGGATCAAACCGCATTCATTCTACAGCAGTGTTTCTCAACCTGGGGGTCGGGACCATTGGAGGTGTCACGAGGTGTCAGAGGAGTCACCAAAGACCACCAGAAAACACAGCATTTTCTGTTGGTCATGGGGGTTATGTGTGGGAAGTTTGGCCCAATTCTATCATTGGTGGAGTTTAGAATGCTCTTTGATTGTAGGTGAACTATAAATCCCAGCAACTACAACTCCCAAACATCAAGGTCTATTTCCCCCAAACTCCACCAGTATTTGCATTTGGGCATATTGAGTATTAGTGCAAAGTTTAGTCCAGATCCATCATTGTTTGAGTCCACAATGCTCTCCAGATCAAGGTGAACTACAACTCCCAAACACAAAGTTAATGCCCACCAAACCCTTCCATTATTTTTCTGTTGGTCATGGGAGTCCTGTGTGCCAAGACTGGTTCAATTCTATCGTTGGTGGTGTTCAGAATGCTCTTTGATTGTAGGTGAACTATAAATCCCAGCAACTAAAACTCCCAAATGTCGTCTATTTTCCCCAAACTCCACCAATATTCAAATGTGGCGTATTGGGTGTTTGTGCCAAATTTGGTCCAGTGATTGAAAATACATGCTGCAGATCAGATATCTACATGACGATTCATAACAGTAGCAAAGTGAGTTATGATGTAGCAACGAAAATAATGTTATGGTTGAGGGTGACCACAACATGAGGAACTGTATTGAGGGGCCGTGGCATTAGGAAGGTTGAGAAACACCGCTCTAGAGTGTAGATCAGGCCTGGGCAAACTTGGGCCCTCCCTCCAGGTGTTTTGGGCTTCAACGCCCACCATTCCTAACTGGCCTCAGGCCCTTTCCTTTTCCTTTAAACGGCTGAGGGGGAAAAGGAAGGGGCCTGAGGCCAGTTAGGAATGGTGGGAGTTGAAGTCCAAAACACCTGGAGGGAGGGCCCAAGTTGGCCCAGGCCTGGTGTAGATGTACCCATGGTCGCCCCCCCTCGCGCGCTGCTCTCCAGTCCCCCGTCGGGCTGCCGTCTTGGCCTTCCTCTGAGGTTGAGAGAGTGTGACTCGGCCAAGGTCACCCCCCTAATGGTAGTCGGTGGCTCCAACGGGGCTTCGAGCCCTGCTCTCTCGGCGCTCAGCCCACCGTAGAGGGCCCTGGCAGAGCCCTCGCCCGCGCGCCCCTCACCTGGTAGCCGCACGCGGCCGCGGAGCCCCACGCCGCGAAGAAGAAGAAGAAGAAGAAGGCGGCGCCGGGCGCCCAAAGCAGGAGCCCCATCACCATCCCTCCGCCGCTGCTTGCCTCTTGCCTGAGAAGCTGCCACTGCCTCTGGTCATGTGACCGCGCGCCCACGTGACGTACACTGGAAACAGACTTCCCGGTACGCCACGCCCCCCAAGGTAAAGAAAGAAAATTGATTGGTTCCTGGGAGTTGCTTTTGGAAAAGTATGCAAATAGATTTGGGCGCGGGACGTTCGAGAGCTCTTTGATTGGCTGGTAAGGAGGAATGGGCGGGGTTGAGACCCGGCAGTACAGGTAAACAGTCCCCTGGGGTGCGTCTACACCAGGCATGGGAAAATTCCGGCCCTCCAGGTGTTTTGGACTTCAACTCCCACAATTCCTAACAGCCGGTTAACCTCAGGCCGCTTCCTTTTCCCTCTCAGCCGCTTTTTTTGTCGTGTCAGGGGCGACTTCTGGTGTGCGAGAATTGGCCGTCTGCAAGGACGTTGCCCAGGGGACGCCCAGATGTTTTGATGTTTTATCATCCTTGTGGGAGGCTTCTCTCATGTCCCCGCATGAGGAGCTGGCGCTGATAGAGGGAGCTCATCTGCGCTCTCCCCAGGGCCGCTTAGGGGTTTAAAGATAACAGGTTATTCAATCTAACAACTGAAACCATTGCCTTGCATAATTATATCTGGTTGATTACCACAAGAGAAGATTCTACTCTAAAGGGTTTTTGGCTCTTTGAAAGGTCATGCTTTTCTTAAAAGGTTTTGATATCCAAATGATGTTTTCCAAAAGGTTATAAATGCCATTTTCCAAGACCCCAAGTGGGCACCCTAGACAATTGTCACATGGTTATTAGTGTTAGATTAGAATTTTATTAATTTTATATAGAATACAACGAAAGAGTGAGAACAATAAAGTATAGGAAAGTGAGGAAATGAAGGAAAAAAAAGAAAAAAAAAGAAGCCAAAAAAGTATGCTAAAATACCAAATAACCCCTAAAAAAAATAACTACAAAAATACACAAAAAACACAAAAAAGAAAAAAAATGACTTCCATTCCATCTTCTTGGATCATATCTTCTTATTATTCAAAAATATAAATTAAGTTCAAAAAGAAATTGTCTCTCTTCTTATTTTCCCAAATTGTCCAGATATTCATGGAGATTATCCCAATTTGTTCTTCTTAGTATCATACCTGTATTTTTCTTCAACAAAAAAGTCAATTCATCCATGTCCTTTATTTCTCTGATTTTTTCCACCCATTCCTGTACGGGTGGTACTGAGTCTTTCTTCCATTCTCTAGCAAAAACAATTCTAGCGGCAGTCGTCATATATGTAAAAAGTTTATCCTCTTGTTCCGTCAGTTGTAGATCTAAATCTGTAAAACCTAACAAATAATACTCCGGTTTTCTTATGAATGTTCTTTTTAAAATCTTTTGTGTCTCTTCATGAATTACCCTCCAAAACTTTACTGCTTCTTTGCAAGTCCACCACATATGGTAGAAGGAGCCAACCTGTTCCAGGCATTTCCAACACTTATCAGAAACTGTTTTATACATTTTAGCCAATTGTTTCGGTGTGGTATACCATCTGTGGAACATTTTTATCCAATTTTCTTTTAAATCCATTGCGTATGTATATTTTAATTTTTTGTTCCACATCTGTTCCCACTCCCTCATTTGAATTGGTCTTCTTAAATTTTGAGCCCACTTTATCATACAGTTTTTAACCTGTTCTTTTTCAGTCAGCCAGGTAAGTAATATGTTATAAATATTCGATATTACTTTCTTTTCTAATTTTAAAATTTTATCCCATGCTGTTTCCTCCCAAGAGAAGCCAAGTTTTTTTATCTTGATTGTAATATTCTTTAATTTGCATATAATGTAACCAAGTAATATTAGAAAATTTTTGTTTTAATTCCTCATAAGTCTTAACATTGTTTGTATCTTTATTTAACAAATCTTTGTAGGTTGGCCATTTTCTCTATCCTAAAAGTCTTCGCTGATTTGCCTCCATAGGAGAGACCCATAAAGTTGTTTTAGAATAAAAATGTATTTTATATTTTTGCCATATTCTTAATAGGGATGCTCTCACAAAGTGGTTTCCAAAACTCTTTTCTTTCTTTTCCCTTTCGTACCATAAATAAACATGCCATCCTACTCTTAAGTCATTTCCTTCTATATTTAAAAAGTCTTCCTTGTTCAACAATATCCAATCCTTTATCCATATCAACGCACATGCGTCATGATATGCTTTAAAATCTGGGCGGCCCAGACCTCCTCTATTCTTCTTATCAATCAAATTATCATACTTTATTCTTGGTCTTCCTCCAGCCCATATGAATTTCAATATTTCTTTTTTCCATTTTATAAAAAATGTTTGCCTTCTAATTATCGGTAGGTTTTGAAAAAAGAACATCAATTTCGGTAATACATTCATTTTAATCAAAGATATACGGCCTAAAAGTGACAACTTCAGATGTATCCACTTTTGTAAATCCTTTTGTATTTTTTTCCAGACTTCTTCATAGTTATTTAGTAATTGTCCATTTTTTGTCGTGATCCATACTCCTAAATATTTAAATTTCTTGACTATTTCCAGACCCGTTTGCTCTTTAATCATATCTTGTTTTTTTCTTTTCTACATTTTTTGTTAATAACTTTGTTTTTGACATATTGATTTTAAATCCTGCAACTGACCCAAACTCATGGAGATTTGAACCTGTGACCTTTCAGTTAGCAAGTTCAGCAGTTCAGTGGTTGAACCCGCTGCACCACCGGGGGCTCCGCAACAACTAATAGCAGCAACTAATACTACATAGTTTATGATGCAGAGAGATATGCTTTCCACTGGACATGGTGATACAGGCCCATCTTATTTTCTTGTCTCTGATTTTAGATCCCCCCCCCCCCTTTAGCAGATATGATGCTCACATCTAAACCAATATTTCTCATAGCATTCCATGTGGTCAGATGGTGATGTTAACTCTACCTGCCTGGATTTTACCACCTCCACATGAACCCAAATCAGTGGTCAACCTGTATTTTGATAAATGTTTTTTAATGTTTATGTATTGTATGTGAATTTGTGTCCCGGCATTGAATGTTTGCTGTGTATATGCTGTGCTCCACCCTGAGTCCCCTTCGGGGTGAGAAGGGTGGAATATAAATGTTTTAAATAAATTAAATAATGTGGCAATTTATGCTGGTAATTTCAGACTATTGTTTGGCACAGGTCTATGGACAGTCAGTGTTTATCTTTCCTGTGACTGAAGGAACTGCCCAAGCAAATGATTGCTTTGAATTGTGTCCAGATAGGACACATTAAAGTTTGAAAAAAAAAAAAACCTCCTGAAGCAATTAAACTGTATTTTCACGTCTGATAAACTGGGTTTTTCTTTTGTAAACCCATCCAAGTCAATCTTATGAACATGCCATGAGGGAAAAAGTTCAACACTACATAATCACAAGGCGAATTCTAGCATGTGTCAAAAAATAATATTTTGCCTATTAAACCCCATTTATGGGATATATGACTGCTGACATATTCCTTCCTTGGGTCTCAGGAGACCAAAGGCATTACTTAATTGCTCTCATTTGAACTCACTAGTGATAGCAATAGACTTGTACCTTAGAGTATTGTAAGTGGCGAGGGAGGCATCTTAATTAAGCTATATAACAGATCCTCAGTGACTTTATTACAGTGCCCGAGGGCCCTTCCACAAAGCCCTATATCCCAGAATATCAAGGCAGAAAATCCCACAATACCTGCTTTGAACTGGGTTATCTGAATCTACACTCAGATAATGTGGGGTTTTCTACCTTGATATTCTGGGATATAGGGCTGTGTGGAAGGGCTCTGAGTGACAATCTATGAGAAGTTTGGGTTGTGCAGCAAATGTTGCTTTTTGCCCTGAACCAACACCTGAAAACTGTGGTTCCTAGGATGACAGATGCAGCTACCTTTCAGCCCCTTGCCCCGCCTCGTGCAATCTGGTATGTGCAGAGATTGCTGCTGTTGAAGGCACAGCTGGACCTGACATAATTCTTTGCTCAATGCAAGATTCTATGGAATCTAAATGCATTTAGATTCTAAATATCAATATGTTTCTTAGCCCTGCTGCATTGCACAACTCTTAAGTCCATTTTTATAAGAAACCCAGCCTGTACTTGGCTGAATCAGTAGCCATTCTGCAGCTTTGAACTGGGGGAAAGGGGTGGTTTTAGAGTTTCTTAAATAGTTTTTTTTCTATGTTCTTCCATTATCCAGGTGGAGGCCACAAGGGGGCGCTAGACAGAGAAGGAAAGTCAATTTTGGGGGGGGGGGAGTTGAAGGAGGAAAACCATTAATTTCCCCCTGTTTTCCTGTTATTCCCCCCACCGATGTCCCCATCGTGGAAACAACCCTCGTTTATGATATGGGAAGGAGGGGGAATAACCAGCGAGAACAGGGGAAATTGTCTCAGACCTTCAACTCCCACCCCACCCCCCCCCCCCCCCATGGACAGTTATTTTCTCTCTAGCACCCATTTTTGGCCTCTGCCTGGATAATGAAACCCTTTTTCCTTAGCAGGAAAGTTATTTCTAGGAGAAAATACATTGTTTGTTCCTGCTGTTCCTTTGTTGGTACATTAAATCCAAAATGATCGCTTTCACCTGTAGGAGACGCAACTCTTGCTATTGACAATGGCTGCTACCTTTTACTAGTGAACATAAATGTGATTTGGTCACGGATTTCACTACAACACAATTGCTTTATGTGAAAGTCCAACACAGAGGCTTTTTCGTCTGTTACTGAAAAATAAATGGTTCCTGAGGATATGTTTTGATGCCATTTTACAGCAGTAGCCTCAAGCAATGCAAAGAAGGAAGTTTCAACGGATATAGCCCCACACAGTGCTTTATAGCTACATCTAAACATGCATAGTTGTGTTTGACTAATATTTGCTTCCAATCGTTCTGTCACATGGAAGCCAAACCTGGAAAAAACTCACACAGAGGCAGGCATGTAACCGGGGGGAGGGGGGGGGGGCTTGGGGGGATTTAGCCCCTCCCCCGAAATTCTCATGGTGGTCCACGAGAAGGCCTTACTGGTGCATTATTTAAACTGTTATGTTTAT